CTGTATATCCAGCTTTGGTTGGAGATGTAATATGCAGATTATTTTGCTCTTGCTTGAAGTAAGCATGGATGCAGTAGTCATTACTTTAGCAGTGTTGAAGAGATGAAGTTTAGGGTACACCTGTTGCAGGAAATCATGCAGCGTTTATATGAGCGTAAGCATATTTGATGATGTTTCACATCAATGTCAGGAAAATGTTATTGTCAGGGCTGAACAATAATTTTAAAATGGAGCCACAAAGGATTTACCGTGAAACCCTGAACACACCCAGTGGTTTGATTGGTGAAGTAGAGCGCTGATCTCCAAGATCTAGGAAGAGATATGAATGGATGAAGCAGGACTCTTGTGCAAAGTCAATTCATTGTTGCGCAATAAGGATTTTGCTCCTGCAGTCATGTTGTGGAAAGTCATTGTTCCAAAGTAACTTCAGAAGCCTTTTTTCTGTGGTGAAATGTACATGGGCTGCTGATGTGGTGACTTTCTCTCAGTAAATGTGGATTCCTTTGGCTCGTTTCTGGATGCACACCATTTTCCCCTGAAGACACATTCAAACACAGAGAATCTGGGAAAATCGTTGGGCGTTGAGAGCGTGTCCACGGTGCTTCAAAGGTGGATTGATCAGAAAAGCTCAGAGTTGTCTTCAGACTCAATTGACCTTATTGATCTGGTGTTATCCTCCGAGCTGCTGTTCATTACTGCGCCTTCGTTCGCAGTTGAGGCCTCTTTGATTAGCTGGTTTGTATCTCCACAGACTGCCACTGCACACAACAGTAAGCAAACCTGCACAATGGCTTGGAGGGCTAAATGTCAACCATGTGGACTTGCGTGAGGTTACACGATGGGAGTGAGAGAGCTTTCTGACTTTTAAGAAACAAGACGGTGAGGAGGTTTTCTTGCTGAGAACATTTTCTTGCTACTTGTGCTCCCGTCGAGTTCAGTGAGCCGGCGCTAACCCTGCCAGGGTTAAAGCCAACAATCCCGCCAGGACCACCCAGGCAAAAAATGCATGCACTCACATCCATCTCATAGCATGTGTGAAGTTATTTGGAGGAAGTTGAATGGTGGGAAATTGGTAAAGAAACTGTTGATGGCTGTTTGATGCAGTAAAATCATTTTTTATTCTATATTATCAGACGATAAAAGTTAGTGGTAAAAATGTTAATGGAGGACAGTTGCAGCGTTGATGGAAGATTTTAAGTTTCTCTTGGGAATTCCCTGTTCAGAGCTTTTTACATTGCTTGCTGTGTGTGTGTGTCCTCCATCATCAGACTGCTTAACAGACAGCTAGCTCCCTCACCCTCTTGTTAGCTGTGTTTCATCTGTTATGGTGGGACGGTTCACACCATTATCATTGTTCTTAGAATTTGGTGAAATCACTCAAATCCCTTGTGTGGGTGTGCAGTGCTTTGAGAGGACCATGCCATTTTATATGTTAGTCCATTTAATAAAACTACTTCATGTTAGGGCTGAAATAATGAGTCAATTAATTAATCTTTTGATTAAGAGAAAAATGAAAAATGCATCAAAATGCACTCAAATGACCATGACTGTGTCACCTCTCATTATTTCTTGAGAAGTTTATGACTAAACAATTAATACCTCACCTCCTAAATACTTAGGGCTCTGTAAAAAATTGTGATACAATAAGGAAATCGCTTTCTGGATTGTATAAACTGTTTGACTGCTGAAATCTGCTGAAAAATGATACATAAAGATTGGTGGTGGTGGGTCCAGTATAGAAATGTAGGAATGTAAGAAATTTGTTATGCGTGATGGGAATAATGTAACATGCAAGATATAGAGTAACTGCATATAAAAGAAGAAGTGATTCCCCTTGGCCTGTGCTTACGTTGAATTCTTGTTTGATCCTCTTTTCACATCTGGTTGCAACCCCTCAGAAAGCAGGCATGTTCAGTGTTCCCTTTTTTCTAAAGAGCTCATCTTGGAAAACATCTCAATTTCTCTCATAGAAGCCCCCCCCCCCCTTCCCTCCCTTACATACAGGTATTTAAAGCTCTCCTGCCATGTTTAGGTGACTGTGATGTAACTGGTGGGATTTCAAATGTAATTCTGGTGTCGAGGAGGGACCACTCTCATAAATGTTTGATGAACGACGAAGCACTCTGCTCGGACTGCCCAGACATTCCCCGGGCTGCCGGCGGTGGAAAGGGCTTTTTAAAGAGTCGCCTGGCTCTATCAGGGCCAGGTGGAAGCCCTCGGGTGCACATGAATCAGGGGGAGGTTCCCGTATCCATATAAGTCTATGCACGTCTGCCTGCAAATACACACACGTACAGTTGCGTGCCGTCTTTCATACACTCCTTAGACTCCTTTATTCCTCGTCTTTCCTCCGCTGCATCTTGTTTACTGCCTCCACTCATACTCCTCAGGAAGCCAACAGGGTACAGTATTGCTTTTTATTGGACATTTATCCCATTTGGCAGGTGAAGTCGCCCACTTCTCACTCTTACACAATCTTTCAGACTTTCCGCCAGTCATAAAACACAGCCCTGATATGACTAGCCCCAATTCCATCGCTTATTATCATTTATTTAAGGTTTCAGAGCTGGGGAAGGGGCCGGTGGGCGTGCCCTGACAGCGAAGCAGCAGAGCGTGGTGTTTTACCATCTGGGCCACACAGGGATCAGCACAACACAAGTGCCTGATCTAGATACATCACTAACCATCAACGGCTCCTAGACACTCGCTGCTTGTCATGCAGGACGGGACGGGCGACAGAGCGCTCACCCCGCAGCTAGCATGATAGCAAGAGCCGCTTTCCCTACTCTCCCCCTTCGCCTCTCTCTCGCTTTCTCTGTCAGCAGCAGTGCAACAATATGGACAAAGTCATGCTGCTGTGATTATTACAGCTTAAAGTAATACTCAACACAAAGTCTCTCTTGTAGGAATCAGTCACACCCTGCAGGCTTTAAAAGTGGCTGTGAAAAGTTTGTGGTTTCTTACTTCACAGAGCTTAATGGCTGAGGTAAACTTAAATTCATGGCAGGTACAATGGATCCTAAATGTGACACATTTGTACAGCTTTAATCCGTCAAATGACTCATTTCTTCCTGTTCTATCAATATGCTCAGTGTGATGCAAACCAAAATATGGCTAAATTCACAACTTCTGTCTCCGTCATCAGGTATGACGTTGGTAAGGTTGTGAGTCGGTGTGTGCATCAGTTTGTGTACATGACAGCACCTTCCTCCTGCTCCTCCAAAAGACATGAGGAAGATCCTTACTGTATTAAAGTATTGTGTGTCTAAATAAAATGTGAGACTGTCTTCACCACAAAAGCAACACTATTGGTATTTGTTGCGCAACCTATGTACGACCTACGATACTGTTATACCGTTATATATGTTATAGCGTTGCAATTAAGTTATCCTGTCAGTACAGATGTGAGATATACATATTCACATGGGTGATTTTGGAAAGAAATAAGAACCTGTTGTGAAATGTTCTCGATACAATTATACGATGAGTTTTTTTTTTTTTTTTTTTTTTTCATCACATTCATATTCGCAGGATGAACTGAAAGTCTCCCCCAAGAAACAATCTCTCATTATCAGGACTTTGCACATGATTTATTGTCACAATAGTGTGTTTTTATTTAGGATATCTCTGTTGGCCAGGACAGCCTCTGAAAGAAGTGAGCATGAGTGTGAGGAGAGGGCCCAGGGAACAGCTGCTATGCATCATGGGTAGTAGCCAGGGATTTTAAACAAGCATGCAGTTACTAAAAGGGAAGGGACCTCTTGTTCAACTACACATGAAAATACTTTTTAATTGTCTTTTGCAAGTCCCCTGACTCTAGGAATAGTCCTTGAATTGGTGAAGTACTCTTTCACTCACAGGCGACTCTACAGTAGGTTTCAGAGGACGAATGAGAATGAAGGACAGTAAATGCATACATGCTGAGAAGGACACAGAGGGCACACTTAACACAATCCAATATAACAGCTCTGGTCACTTATTATAGACACTGTTTCAGAGACATTATAACTCAACTCTATGGTATTTTTGTGAAGCTGTTGGTTGTGGTGTTGTTGATGGATTAAATCAAGATCACTTTTATATGAGTATAGTTTTAGCTCTTATGTCTGTATTACCTTCAGATGTGCTGTAAAATGCTTTCAGTAGTTCTACAAGACTAGATTTTAGATAATGTATCATCCCGCTGGACTTGCTGCTGATGGCCATGCCACTCATATTATTTAGTCTTTTTGGGTTAGCTCTATGAAAGCTTTATGTGGTTTTAATGTAGGATTTGGCAGGAGTACAAGCTGAGTGAGTGAAGGTTCACTTCTGTCCCTTTGGGTGTTGTCGGGCTTGTCCCTGTCCTTCTGGCTACCTCCCCCTGAGACCTGGACACTGTAAGCAAATGACACAGTTAAAACCACAAAGGCCCACCAGTGCTGACGTAACAGGCCGGGTCTCCCCTTTCCAGAGCCCGGGCTGCTCCTCAGTTTCTTTCTTCTCGAGTCTCAGGCAGCTGTGGCTTGTCGTCTTTGTGTGCATATTTAATTCCTTCAGAGCTGTTTAACCGTGGAGCACCTCAGTGGCGCCGAGCATCTGCTCTGCAGTGGGACTCTTCGGTGCATTTATCCGTCCCCATGCAAAGAGCGAAGACCAGAATGTCATGTAATTTTGATGGCAGCTTCCACTGTTGTTGCCGGCACCCAGGGAGTGCAAAAAAGTGAAAAATAGGTCGTCTCTTCTGCTGTTTTCTCTGTATGTTTGAAATATAAATGGGCCCCACTTTAAGCTCAATTTTATAGTCTGTTTAATGTTGCTGCAGTGACTGGATGAAATAGCTTTTGTTAATCAAGTCAGGGGAGGATTATGGGTAAACAAGTTGTCAGTGTAGTGAGAGAGCTAATTAGGCAAGGTTTAATGATGTAATAACTTTCTAGTTCTCACTTTCTTTGTTGAAGTGGGACAGCTGTGCAATTAATTTTTATGTCAATGTGTCTCTTTGTTTTCTTGTTTTTCAGAAATCTCCTGGACAGAGACACATTCTCCAAGTCTGATCCAAGTAAGCTCACCTGCTCCACACACACCCACACACACACACACACACACACACACACACACACACACACACCACACACACAACACACACACTCTCACACACACACACACACACACACACACACACACACACACACACACACACACACACACAAACACACACACATACACACACACACACACACACACACACACACACACACACACACACACACACACACACACACACACACACACACACACACACACACACACACACACACACACACACACACACACACACACACCAGCTCTCAGCACCTTAAATTCTGGAGACAAACACAAATATCCACAGACAAACATCCACCATATTCAGGCAGATTTAAACTGGGCACACACATGGACACACATACATGGACACACACACACGGACACACGCGCACACACACACACACACACAGACACACACACACACACACAGACACACACACACACACACAGACACACACACACACACACAGACACACACACACACACACAGACACACACACACACACACAGACACACACACACACACACAGACACACACACACACACACACACACACACACACGCTCTGCCTCGCTAATGTGAATTAGTAGACATTTGCATATGTCAGGGGTCGTATTCGTCACTGTTCTCCGCTCCCAACGTGAGTGAGGAAAGCCCGATCATCCTCACACACAAACCAGCCACTTCCCTCCTACAGATGAAAGGACACACAAACACACACATTCACATATACACACTCCTCACTCCCTTGACAGCAGGAGTTCAATTTGGCAACTGGTCCATTGGTTTTTAAAGGCTCAATGTGGAATCTAACAGTAATTTGTCCGATAAAGAAATGTAAAGTGTCGGACTAAAGGCGTTTTTCCTTGTAAAGAGAAGGCAACATTATACTAGGGCTCTCAAACTGTCAAGTACCAAAAACTGGCACGGTCTGAATCAGATTCATAATCTTGTTTAGAAATGCCAGGAACAGACTTCACAATATCAACCAGATAAATGACAGAATTAGTGTCAGGCACAACAGCTGTCGTGTATCATGGTGGAAGACAACCAAGGCAGGACGTGTGAAACCTCTCGATGTATCGACGATGGATGTTCCTCATGACTAATTCCCCTGTCGGTTAAATGGAAATTAAAATCTTGACTATTCGGCTCCTCAATAGACAAACTGAGTGGGATCACAGCATGTAAACGATGTCATATTGGTTTCGAGTGTGGCTAATGTTAGCAGCGCCAGTGCCAGCAGCCTTCTTACCTTGCAGGTTAACGTCCACATACCTGTGCTGAATGTAGTTACACATTGCTCTAGTTGAGTGGTAGGCTGGAGCTGAAATTCGATAATATTGAATATCACGAAATATTTCCCACCATATGCAATATTCCCCATAATGTCAATGTATTTTTACAGTTTTGAACAGTCCGCCCTCCTGCTGAGTCCAGCCTTCATTTCACTGCTTTGCTTACAGTACATTGTACCTTGGCACGTGACAAATAAAACTGTGAATTGCTGCCACTTATACCTGAAACATAAAATACAATAACATAACAATTATTGTCCAGCCCAATATGTGGGCAGGATTTATCGGGATATTAAATCTTGGATATCGCCCAAGCCTATCGAGTGCTTATATACCAGCTTATTCTGACACAGCCTACATACAACCTTATTTTCATTTTCTAAATGAAAATACTGTCCACTTTGCTGGTTTCCAACACCTGAGTGGACTGCTGTCTGCAGCCCCAGCTAGTGGCTGTTGGCTGCGTGACATCTTATTAGACAAAACAGTTATCAGTTGTAATTAAATTGTAATTGTAATTAAATCTTACAGACACCCTCAGTCATATCTTCACAATCACCTTTGTACATTACACAAGTTGTGAAAGAGTGCAAGCTATGATCAATATCATTACCAAGGCACAGCGAGAAATTATGACTCTGTGATCATCGTCACATCTGATACTGTGACTATCTAAAAAAAAACAAATATATCATCTAGTCTGATCCTCAGTAGTAATCAGTAGTTTCTGATTGAAGTTCATGTTTGGCTGCTTGTGTTTTGACATTTAGAATTTGAGAACTGCAGCTTTTTTGATTTGTATAATGAAAGAGATTTGCCTATCAGCCATATTGTTGAAAACTGAAAATAAAAGCCAGCCTCACTAGATGCTGAGAACAGGTCCTCTTATACTCACATACTCAGGCACACGTGCACAGACAAGCTGGAAGATTGTGAAGTAGTTCCTTGCTGTTTTCATCTGTCGTTCCTGCTTTGTTTTCTGTAACAGACTGTGACAGTCCTGTCGGTTAAAAGCCCTCTAAAAATAAACATGATGGGAGGAAAATACTCTGAGTTATGCTGAAATGATAAAGTTGAAACATATTTATATTTTATTTTTACCCTCTACTTTTCCAGGGTTTGGTTAACATTCAGTTTTTCCAACATCACCTTGTTTCATTTCCTAAATATTCAGCACTCTGCCACCTGGGTGCTGTACAGCGAACACAGTGGTGTTTTTAGCATTGGTTGGTGTGTGTGAACCCATAATTGATGAGCTCCACAAATCGCCGATTGGACCTTTAAGTGTCAGACGGTGGGAGAGGAGGATGAGCATCCCTGCCCGCCCCAACGTTTATGCAAGGAGGCACTTGTGCTGCGTCCATGTCTCTGCTCTGCTGACAGCACTGGCCCCAGTCACACAGCATTAGATCGCCTCAGCAGAGCCACACACACATGCAAAAAGTGCACACATCCAGGGCCTCAGGCAGGCTCACGTACCATATTCATATTAGCTTATAAAACTGGACAACAATCCAGTGTTTCTGTTTTGTGCATGTTTGTGTGTGTTTATACATGTGTGCGTGGTTCCTGTGGTGTGTGAATGTGGATGTGCTTTGATCAGTGTGCTTCAGCAGATTGGAAAAGGGCATTAAGCAGACAGGAACATTATCAAAGTATGCACCGTCAGTATCTCCTACATTCGGAGCAGAGATGGTGTTAGCGGTGCTATTGTCAAGTTCCTGCCCTCATCATCAGCCTGATGAATAGGAGGAGTTGAAAGGGCGCCTGTACGGATGCGAGGAGCATCGCTATTTACGGGTGTGTGATTGATAAATAGCTTTTTCCCCTGCACAATAATGCAGAGACCATGTGTTATCTGACGCTTTGTGGCAAGATTAAAGGACGACCGTATATTCAACCAGCTGAGCCCCAACCCACTGCACACCATCCACAATGCAACATATACACCATCCAGACTGACAGTCTCCCAAAACATGGCAAGTTTGAGCTGTTCTGCCACCAGACCAGACGCAGGGGAATTAGAATGTCTGTTGTTTGTGTTGCACTCAAGAACAGTGACATTTACAACATAGCTGGAAGTCGGAAGAAAACATCAGTTTTTACATAATATTAGTAATCATATAATGTATCTGGGCTCAACCTGAGATTCATTCTAAAAGATGAAATGTCAGGAATTCATCAGATAGGCCTGGTGATTCTGAAACCAAGGATGATTTTCACTCACAGTTACAACCGTTAACGAGTCTATGATTAAATTAAAAATATAAAAGTCATTTCATCAGTTGGTGGTAGCTCATACATTAACTCAGGCATAAATTTACAATTAATTAGAGCTGTAATTAATGATAATGTATGTCACTGCAGTGGAAGTTGTTGCCTTCATCATCAGATGTCACAAGCTCAACTCAAGTTCTGTTTTTTATGTAGTTCTGAAGAGAGTGTGTCTGCTTTATTTTAGTGCTTTTATGTTACTTTAAATAGTTTCACCTTTTTGAAATAGATTTATAAGCTTTCAAACCCTGTAAGGCAGCACATAATTAAAATAGCTTTCACTCAACAGGGTAGAGCTTCAGCGCTCTGTTTTTTGCTTGACACTAGTCATATGGACATCTAATTACATTTACATCAAACATTGTGTTTGAAATCATTCACCACTCACTACAACAGTGCCGCACAATCATGCATTGTGTCTAACATTTAATGTCTAGTATTTTCGTCACAACTGACTCAGAATTCAATACAATGTGAATATTGAACAAGGGACTTGTAATTCCACTGTCCCAACATTAAATACACTCTAGTGCCCCATCAGAAAAATATGACTGAATGTCACTATGGAGGAATTTGCAATGCTTACACTGCTAATGTAGACATTACTGTAGATATGATTTGTTTCATATATCTAGGCTATTAATTAACACAAAGCCTTATTCCAGCCAATTACATGCCACAACATACAATGCCAAAAAAACGATGCAAGCTTTACTCGAACCCCAGTGAGCCCAGTTCATCTCCCGTGGTGGTGTTTTACTGGAGCTGAGTGGTGGGACCCAGCTTTGTGCATCACCAACCTCACTGCTTCAGTTCCTTTAAGTTGAACAAAATATCATTTGCTTATTTGCTTAATTGATGAGAGTTAAAGGAGAAGCTAGCTAACCTAGTCAGTTAGCTTGTCTGACTTTATTAGAATTACAAGTTGTAAATTGAGGAATATTGTTTCATTTTTTTGTAAAATATAATTTCAAATTTGCCCAGTTTACATCATAATTTACAGCATTTTGATAAGGAGTTATGGCAGATACTGTATATTAACCATATTTTCCACTATGTCTTTTACCCCTTCAATCTAAATGGGTTATATATTAACAAGCTAACGTTAGCTTTGTGAGTTGGTTCAGTTAGCTACGCTATATTTACACCTGGCAGTGAATGTATGTAAAGAACAAGTTATCTGTACAAACTAATTTCTGTGGTGCCACTTGTTGTAATTACTTACTACTAATTTTTACCTATTTATTTTCTATGCTTTATTCACAAGGGTCATGTGTCCTGTTTCAACTTACTGATGAGAAAATCACTACTTAGTAAAGACTTGCACTATGTTATAACTTGACTGAAGTTTGAATACAAAACTACTGGTGCAACCGGCTGTCATTAGTACTACAAAACCCAGTTTACTAAACTGTAGGGAGGGAACAGTACATGTATTTGTGCCGTGCTGTTTGGTACAGGATGTTGCGTTGTGATCTAAATTAATATAATCTAGCCTTAACCATAGCCAGTTTGTCACTGGGCTACAAGTTTACAATTACACGTTTATTTACAAGTTTTTTTACGAGCTAAATTCATTTTAAATTAATAGAATTTATAGAAATTAATATTAATGTAATGTTTTTCATGTCTTTTTCTTTCACTGTACCGAAAACATAAAGAACAGTTAATTAACATGTATGTACTGAAATGTTACTTTTCTGCACTGCTACACCCCTACTAAACAGACATACATAGTGTAACCCTTATTTAATTAGGTAAACTCATTGAGATCAAGATCTCTTTTGATCCCTAGAGAGACCTGAGTCAGCAGAAGAAGTAAGAACAGAGATAAGACGCACCAAAACATAATGACATATTTTATTAGCTAATGACAAAAAATATCCTAAAACTACTCACTGTTTCATTATACAAACATTTAACGAATTACAGCAGATTTGCAAATGTCCAGTCCCCGGGCAATTCAGAGTTGTGAGTCGCTGCCATGTGACAGGCGTGTGTGAATACAGTAACGGCTGCTAGAATGCAAATGAAATGTCATTTTAGTGCCAGCTGATTACCTTCCTCTCTTGTCGCTAGTGATCCGTCATCAAAAAACACTCCAAGACGGATATGCTCGAATGTCAATAAGGAGGACTTTCCTCCACCCACACAAACACCCACTAACCCCATCCCATCCTCCCTGTCCCTCCCTCCTCTCTCCCTCTCTGAAATATCATTATGCTGCCAGCAAAGTTCTAGTGACATTTAATTAGAGAGCTTTCCTCTCATGTTGTCCATGGAAAGAACACGCTCTCAGCTGACTTCTCTGCATTATTTGTTCACTGTTAATCAGTCAATCAGTTTGACCCTCCCCTGTTTCTCTCCCCTCCCTTGTTTCTAATTCAACAGTTTGTGTGCTCTACACTCAAGGAATAGCCAACAGGGAATGGAGAGAGGTGAGTGTGGGGTGGGGTGGTGGTGGTGGTGGTGGGGTGGGGTGGGGGCAGTGAATGCTTCCAAGGAGCTTAAATGGCAAGCAGTGCAACATTTCAGAAAAGTCATATTGAAGGACTGCAGTGAGATTTTGAGAGGCTGCCTTTTTTCTTTTTTTTTTGTCCTTGGAAATGCTTCAGGTTCGGCCTGCTGGATCAGTGTGTTAGTTTGAATTTATCACAGCTAACACAGCTCACTTTTGTTGCTGTGTTTACTTGTTATGTGCCCAGTAACTTAACATTCCTTTCCAGGAGGTGTAGTTATGTCTATTGCTGTTGCTGTATCATCTCCTGGGTGATTCATGTTAACATGTTTGTGTGACAAAAGTAAATTAATTTCCTATTGATTGCGACCCAAGCCAGGACCTGAGTTGTCTGAATCATATTTATTGTATATTTACAAGCATTGGGCCTCATTCACCAATATCTTAAGTATTTTCTTAAATTCTTTCTTAAGTTGTTCTTAAGAAAGTCTTTAAGAAAAGATTCACGAACGTGTTCTTAAACTGCAGAATTGTGCGCACCTGTGTTCTTAGATTGATGAATGCCAATCTCCTCATAAATTGAAAGTGTGTGCCAGTTGGCCCTAATTAGCGTAGGTAAACGATCGAAAAGTATTATTGTAATTTAAATAATATAATATTATTTATAATTATTACATAATTATATAACTGTAGAACAGAAGAAAACACAATAACCAGTTATTTTGCTCAAACATGTCAGCACTCAAATGTGCATAAGAGTATGCTTGAGTGTGCGTAGATTCTGTTCTTACCTAAGAACAAATCCCAAATAAGAAAAACATTGGTGAATGTCAGAATCTTTGTAAAAAGTGTGTAAGTGGGTTTAAGTAAGAAATCTCTTCTTAAGAATGGTTGGTGAATAAGGCCCAATGTTTTTAGTAGTGAAACACAATGAACAAGAGAAACATAATCTCACAATTCAAATAGCAGCTCTCATGTTGTAAATTTTGTCAATCAGGCACCAAGTCTTTATTTATTTAAACACACTGGGGCTGGGTGGGTATACTATGGGTTCATTTTGGATCTGGTCCAAGGTCCAGGTCTGGGACCCATGAAGACCTCTAATGTGAACTACTACAAGCTTCAATCATGTGATAATATATTTAGCTTTTCTATTTTAAGTGAGTGATTTATAGAGCACATGAAATGATTACATGACAATTACAAAACATACTACCCCTGAGTAGCTGTAGCTCTAGAAACAAAATTGCTGGATGGATGAAAAATGGAGAGAAAAGTTTTGCCTGAGGAAACACTCTATTGTTACCTGCATCATAATGGTTTCTCCTCTGGCCATTTTAGTACATCTCAAACTCAGCTCGTCAGACTCAGCTTTTCATTGTCAACCTCGGATCTCCTTCTCTGCTCTAAGCTGTTGGCCTTAGGTGAACTTGGGATCAGCTCTGCTTTGCGCTGAATGCTTACATGCTAACATTTACCATGTAAAATTATTATATATTAAGCATGATCTAAAAAATGACTATGTTAGAATGTTTACAATGTGAGGAATTTGAGTATTTTTATTAAATAACTGTTGTTGCTTGGATTGTATTACAGGGGTTTCTCTACTTCTGGTCACTCAGTTTTTAGTTAGTTGAATGAGTATTGATGGCAGTCATTAACCAAGTATCCCCTGTCTCACTTCTTTCCTAGTTTGGCAGGACAGAAGTCATAGACAACACCCTCAACCCTGACTTTGTTCGCAAATTCATCCTGGACTACTTCTTTGAGGAGAGGCAGAATCTACGCTTTGACCTGTGAGTTAACAATTGACTTATGCGTGTTGTTGAGTGTGTATTTGTTGTTGTGTATTTTTGTGTGTTGTGTAGGCGTGGGTGAGAGTGCTGCTCAGTGTGGAGCAGAGTTAAGACTGAAATATTCATGGTCTGTGCAGAGGGAGATGTAAGTCTTCTCCCCTTTAAATAAAAGACAAGATTTCGTGCCACTTTTTCACCAGCATTTCCATGTGAATTCATCTCATTCATACAATGCTTTGAGACAAACCAAAGCCAGAATGCCCCCAGTGAATTATACACTTGGCATTTTGAGCAATTCTGAAAATGGATAATAATCATCACATTTCACCACTGAAAAGACAAGTGTGTCCTGACAGTATTATGTTAATGGAATAATCAATCAACTCCTACCTCTGTCATTTTTTTCTACATTTTTGTTAATCGTGTTTTTTTATTACACTTTTTTTTCAATTTCTGGAATAAATTTGAATAATGTATTCAGGTGTTACGCAGTGCAGAAAAAAACTCATGAAACAAATGACCTCCTTTGAACAGCAGATGCAGGAGACTGCTTTGTCTTAATCCTTTTAGACCTAAGTGCGGCTTTTGACACAGTTGATCATACAATTTTAATTAACTGCCTTAAGCTCTGGGTATCTCTGGGTCAGCACAGAGTTTTCTCAGTCCTTACGTCTCAAAAAGAAGCTGCTCTGTTCAAACCAGAGATTCTTCAGCTGCTACAGTGGAAACCAAGCACCTCTGGTGTCCCTCACAGCTCATTTCAAGTCCCCATCATATTCTCTACTCATGAATTTTGTTTCGTAGTATCATTTGTAAATATAATTTGCACTTTACAATCACAGTGCATTTTATTAGGAACACTTGTACACCTGCTTATTCATCCAGTCATTCAATCATGAGGCAGCAAGGATAAAATCATGCAGGTCAGGAGCCTCCGTTAATGTTCATATCAAACATCAGGATGGGGAAAAAATGTGATCTCAGTGATTTTGACCATGGCATGAGTGTTGATGTCAGATGGACTGATTTGAATATTTCTGAAACTGCTGATCTCCTGGGATCTTCGCACACAACAGTCACAAAACACCTTATTAATGAGGGAGGTCAGAGAAGAATGGACAGACTGGTTGGAGCTGACAGAAAGACTACGATCACTCAGATAACCACTCTTTACAACTGTGGTGAGCAAAAAAACTTCAGAATGAACAACACGTCTAACCTGAAGGTGGATGAGCTACACACTCTTCCACTCTTGCCAATCAAGAGCAAAACCCGAGGCTGCAGTGGACACAGACTCACCAACACTGGACAGATGAAGGCTGGAAAAATGCAGTCTGGTTTGATGAATCTTGATTTCTGCTGAGGCAGCAGATGATAGGGTCAGAGTTTGGTGTCAACAGTATGACCCAAACCTGCCTTGTGTCAGCAGTCCAGGCTGCTGCTGGTGGTGTTATGGTGTGGGGAATGTTTTCTTGGCACCCTTTGCACCCCTTAATAACAATCAATCATCATTTGAATGCTACAGCCTCTCAAAGTATTGTTGCTGACCATGTTCATCCCTTTATGGCCACAGTTTGTCATCTTGTAATGGCTACGTCCAGCATAATAATGCTCCATGTGTCAAAGCAAAAGTTGTATCAAACTGGTTTCGTGAACATGACAATGAGTTCAGTGAACTTCAGAGCAGGAGATTGGCAGCATGAATGTGCAGCTGACAAATCTGCAGAAATGATGTGATGCAGTCATGTCAACATGGAGCAGAGTCTCAGAGGAAAGTTTCCAACATCTTATGAAATCCATGACACGAAGACCTGAGGCTGTTTGAGAGCAAAGAGAGACCCTACCAAATATAAATATGGTGTTCCAAATAAAGTGGTTCAAGAGTATATATTTGTATGTAACATTAAGAAGATTCCTCCTTGTCTGAGTTTGTGTTGTATGAGGCAACACAAAGAGTCAAATACGTCAAGGAATTGACCATTTACAGCAAATAGTTAGGTTAACCGTTAGATTTTTGCTATTTGACTTCCTGAAGAAACTCTCAAAGAATCTGAGCAGCAACGAGCATTTTGTGAATTCCACCTTAACGAGGACATGAACATTAAATCTTAATCTCAGCAATGTCCTAAATCTCATCTCATAACTAGGACATACAGTAAGAGGGAGGATGTGGTGGTGGAGAGAGCTGCAGCAGCAAATGGCAATGAGTTGAAGAATTAATATGACTGGACATTACTCAGCTGAAGTTGGAATATGATAGAATACAACTGAAAATGAAAACTTATTATTTTTAATTAATTAATTGTTTTATAAACATATTTTTATGTATCATATCAAACATGACAGAAATTTTAGTAATTCAACAATAAACTGCTGATGACTTTACAAACTAAATACATTTATGTATTTTTGAAAAGTTGAATCGTGCAAACAAAGTAAATAAATTAGGAGTTGTAAATAGTGGCTCCTGAGCCAAATCTGGCCCCCACAGTATCTTGTACACAGTGCTGAGAGCAAATATACAGTAAGATACCAGTTTTACCATGCAGCTAAACAAAGACAACAATGCTAAACAAATGTAAGCATAAATATATATTTGAAACAGGGTAGTAGGTATGAAAATAGATCAACACCTAAACAACAAACATAACATTTTATGGGTTATTTATAATTTATTTGTATAAAATTTTTCAAATCAGAATCTTAATTATGTCTTATCTGCTGAAGACATCACAGTATATACTGTATAAAGCTTGTGTAAATTTCATAATAATAATAATATGAAGTTGTTGCTAAGCTCCCGAATCACTGAAGCAGCAATGCTCATTAGTAGGAAGGTGAGTGAACTGGCAGGTAATGTGATTGATGTAGAATTAGAAGGTTGTTGTGATTGGTTCATTAGATTCAGGTGTGTTGAGACAGACAGATTTCCTGGTGTCTGATAAAAAAGTATTTATTGTAGAGAATAATAAAATATTTACATCGTATCTTAAACACATCAGATACACCTGTGTTGTGAGTCATGTTGCTGTTAAAAGTTTTTAAAAAAAAGTCAAATCTCCTCATGTAGCACTAAAAGTCGACCTGTCCAAGTGATTATGATAATCAGGATTTTCCTCTATTGTGTTCCAGCCTCACGCAAATTCACTGTATTTTCCCATGATAGCTCATGAAATATGGAACGGCTCTTTGTTTGTTTACTTGTTGGCCTGTCAGCAGGGGCACATGCTGCTTACAAACTGTGGGAGGTTGCAGTGAAGGTCAAGGAGAGATGCTAGCTGTTTGATTGTGTGTGTGTATTTAGGTTGTGTGCTCAGTCTGTCAGATAAAGTGTGTGTATATACATTTAGTTGTGTTCAGGTTGTTTTTTGGATGAAAGTGTGATGTGTGCGTATGATGTTAGTGTGTGAATCTGAGCGTATGTGTGTTTGGACATTTGTTTTTTAATGATGTGTGTGTTTTCATTTCTGTCTACGTGAGCATGGCTGTTGAGATTTTGTGCTCGGCAAGGCAAGTATGAATAATAATATTAATGTGATACTTGTGTGTGTGTGTGTGTGTGTGTGTGTGTGTGTGTGTGTGCGCGCATGGTTTTTTATTGTTTGTTTTACCATACGTGTGTATATTCCCATTCCCATGTGCTAGTGGAATGTAGTGCATATTTGCCAGAGTGTGTGTGTGTGTGCGTGCGTGCGTGCGTGCGTGCGTGCGTGCGTGCGTGCGTGCGTGCGTGTGTGCGTGCGTGCGTGTGTGTGTGTATGCACTCAACTAGTCCAACTCCCCACATGGCTTGTGGGTGTGCATCAGGCCCCGTTAGTGTCTTATGGGCTGATGGGCTTACAATCACTCGCAGCGAGGACATGGCTGCCACACACACACACACACACACACTCACACACACACACACACATGCATGCCTGCCCTCAGAACACGCATTTACACTTTGCTTTTCAGACATTCTACACACATCATGTCGAGCTTTAACATGCATGCAGACACATACACACACACACACACACACACACACACACACACGTACATACAACACATGTAACCAGTGGTTACTCGCGCTCTCCTCAGCCTTTGTCCTGAGGTCTGGAAGTCTTTACACTATAGCTCCTGCAGCTCCTGCAACCCTTCATTACCTCAACCTCCCTCACTTCAACTCAGTGCTTCACATCCCTTCACAACATCCATAGACAATGCTGAGCTGCCCGCAAACCACCAGTATAGCTGCTGCTGAACCATCCCACGCTCTCCTTACCCGAAGACCCCAAAGCCACGACACACTTCGCTTCCTCTGCTACTATCCATGCCTGGAAATCCTGTTAACCCTCATCTCACTGCTGGCCATGTTCAGGGCTCCTCTTAGCTTTTTCTTTTTTCTTTTTTTGGGTAGAATTGAAATTTGAGATGCTCACTGAAGCCGGTAGGACCCCCCCACACACTCAAACACATCGGGTGGTTGGTTGTCTAATCAAGTGTGGAGAGTGTGAGTAAAAGAGGGATCTAGCTGTATTTATTTCATTTATTTCACTGGATTGAAGATATTTCCTCTACAGTTGGAAATCAAGAAGTCCTGAGTTGAAACTCAGGTTAAAGTGTGATTTTTGTTTTCAAAATATCAATTTTTGGAAACAAAATGTATCTCACCAGTCATGCACATGTACATTGTAGTGTGCACAATACAGTGGACTGTAATTTCATGCATTAGAAGACACAGCTGTTTTGCAAAGAAGCATTTCCTACATTTACAGTGTTGTTGGAGTCAAAGTCATGGTACCTCAGAATCAGTCAATGCTGAAAAATCACATAAAAGCAAATGTAAAAAAAGCTAATATGCATTTTCAAACCATTTCATCTTTAAACCAGAAGGAATCACAATTACTGTACCTCATCATTTATTTCAAACTACTCCAATGCAATCAAAATCTGCTGAAAATAAAAGTGTGTTTTTGGTTTAGCCATATTTTGCTTTCTTTCCTTGGCAAAATAATATTCCAAGAATAGAGCTTGGATTCAATAAGAACCAGAATCAACAAGAATGTCACTGAACAGAATGCATACCTCCACCAAGGCCAAACAATCCTACACATGTCTGTCAGACCCAGATTATTATGTGGATCTACACTGAATAACACCAAGTCAAACATCTCAACACTCATATTACATCAAACATTAATTCCTGAGAAACTGATGGAAATGTTGCAGTGTTAAGGAAAGTAATAAGAAATTTATGGATTTGCTCCTTTATTCAGATGGAGACCAACATTTAAAGTGTTAGTCCCTGGCCCATGCTCCAACCCTTCACCATATTTGGTGCCAATCGGTTCAGTAGTTTTTGCACAATCCTACTGACAAACAAGCAAAGAAACCAACAAACAGACACGGGTGAAAACATAACCTTCTTTGCAGTAATAAGCACAATCAAAAACTAGAGATCTAATTCCGATGCCCAGCCATGATTTCCTGTAATTTCCTGTAATTAAACCAATGACAGACACAGACAGCCAACATGGATTTAAAATGTATCTCAAGTAACAAATGCATCATTTACATTTGAACTGTTGAATATTTGACCATTATTAAGCATGAAAGTGAACTCTGAAAATGACTAAAATGTTCTACTATTCAACAATGATTCCTTATGTATCATTAATTTAAAAAAATGTCCATATTCCACATGTAAATATTCATTACAATACATTACAACGAAACAGGGAAACTCCAAAGAAACTGATACTTGCCCTAAAAATTGGAAGTACATCATTCCCTTCTTTTTTATAGCAGTATTTTTGGTAAAATGCCATGTTCAGGAAAATCTGTGACAGAGCCAAATATGCTAATGAAACATCGAGCATCTCGTATGAAGGTATAAAGGCCTTGTGAAGGTTTCATGAAACTATTAGGAAATGGAGCTCAAGTGTCAGTTCACTGTCGTCTGTTGTTTGCCTTCCTCTCCGGCCCTGTTTGTTTGTGTGCCATCATTAGTCATCATTGCTCAGTTCAAACGGAGCTCTGAGCAGCCCCCTCCCCCCTCCCCGCAAGACAGACAGCACAGGACCAAGAGAAATCCTGTCTGGCCCAGTGCCGATGCAGTGATGTCATCCACATAAACTCACACTCATTCAGTCACACACAACAAATGTGCACTCACGAGGCGCCGTGGGACATCTACTCCTGCAAACACTCGTGTGTGTGTGTGTGTGTGTGCATGAATATGTGCGGCCAAATCATCCATCGTACATACATCAGTAGTATGTTTTTCTGTCTCTCTCTCTGTCTCTCTCTGTCTCTCTTTCTCTCACTCTTTGGGTCTCTCATTATTAAATAAGATTAAATGAATCATTTATGAACATTTGGGAGTGACAGAGGCAAGGGGCGAATAGAACATGAAGCGCACCTGTGCATTTTGCCAGCGGCACGTTGCGTAACAGCACCACGTTTCCTTGCTCTTATGGAATTACATTAGTAACAGCTCCGTATTGGAGTCCCCCACCCCCTCCTGTAGTGACACACAGTGTCTCCCAGTTTTGTCAGCAGGCGCCTTATCGTACATGGCATGCTGTCTGTAGAAAGAAACGCTCAGGATCTCCCATTTACACACTCCACTACGCACTGCTGCACACACACCACACACACACCAGAGACACCTAGGAAGGTGACGGGTTACAGGAAGTAAATAAAGCTGGATAAATTGCTCTCCAGAGAGGCGAGTGGATCATATGGTCTGCACAATATAGCTGCTACTTATGGTTCAGGAGGATGTGAATGGACAAGCTGTAGAAATCTAGTTTGTTGGACTCGGCCGAGCTGTGCCGCTGTGGAAATCATATTATATATCTACAAAAATCCTTTACTTTTCAGAGAAAAATCTTTTGTTCTTATAATGGAGAACTGTTTACTTGGTGGAGAACAAGAGAAGAATGTTTACACATGACATACTACTGCTATGTGTCAATCATTCTGCGGCTCCAGAGGGAGCTGTGTGAAATTTGATAAATTGCCTCAAGTGATGTCACTTGAGTCGATGTCGGTTGGGTCTGAAGTCTGAGAATTAAAAAGTCTGGGGGTGTGAGGTTAGAAAGCGTTGAGCTTACCTGCAGTATGTAGCTTTCTCTTCAGCTCTGCTTAAGGCTACAATAGCTGCTGTTAGCATAACACACCTGAATCCCCAACCCAACGGTCAGTGGTTGAGTTGCAGTAAGGCTGATGTAGGTGCCAGGTTTTGACCAAAAAGGAGAAAAAAAGATGATTTCTGGTTCTACTTCACCTATTTTTTTCTTTTACTGGATTTTTGTTTCTACTTTGATTTTCTGATTATAATATGCTGTACAATATATAATATACCATATACTACTGCAGTATCTTAAACATTTTTAGATGATAGATCTCCCTGATTATTCTGTCTTTGTATAATTAATTCAAATTATGAACCAGCTAGAATTGCCATTGTGTACTGCTACTAACACATCAATACTTAAAAAGTGGAACATTTTCTGTGTAAGTACTAAGATTTTCATGTGACAGCCATTAATGATACCGAGGCCACTGATACTGTTGTACCCTCATGCATGAAATCAGATCAGTAAAGCTTTTGCTGTCATAATCACAAGCCTACTTTAAACCTGAACAGCTTCTTTGCAGTGATTAGTGGAGAAGTGCCTTGCATTAATGGAAGGTGATGAAGGAGAGAAGCTTGTGTCATAGACTACTAATTTGTGTTTTGGCAGCCTTTCAGTCACAGGCTTCCTGCTCAAACCTTGCAACCCAACATGGCCTCGGTTCTGATGTGTCATCTCTTCTCTCTTCTCTGCAGGTACGATTTAGACTGCAAGAGCGACAACCTCTCTAAACACGTGAGTGTCTCCTTCACCTCAGCTGTTCAGCAATCAGCCATGCATTCATGGAAATATTATACAGCCAAATGTTTACCCTTCCAGTACAATAGCAGCCTGATTTGAATCTGAATGTCAGAGGTAAGAGTGGCCTAACAGGAACAAAGCAATCGTGATGGCATTTAAACTCTCTTAAAGAAAAGATTTAGGATTTTTCTGACCCATGCCAGGTATTCAGAAGAGTTTTACACCACAGTTGGGAAATGCTTGTGACCTGCCCGCTTATTGAGTTTGCTGGAAATGGTAGAGCAAGAGGCTTAAGTCTCAGAATCCCATACAGTTTCTATGATATCGGGACACAGTTAAGTATATCAAAAGTTGGATGAGCATTCCTATGGAAACCCAGGATTCATGTGAGATAATATTTTGACCTGTCACTAAATCCCTGCAGGGGATATCACGCTACGCTTTCACGAATAAGCTAGACCCCATGACAGGCGACACCATTCCACTCACCATTTAAGCTGCTTTTAACTCCTACTCTCACCATTGCAGAGAGCAGATACTCTGCAGCTTGATCCAGCCTTAAATCTACATTGTATCTGCTTAGGCTCAGCTGCCATGGCCGGGCCGGGCCCACTGGCTTGATAGGCAGAACCGTCTTAATGCCATGGCCCATTCAGAAGTCCAGCCTACAACCTTACCTCCACAACTTAGTAGTTATATCAGAAATTTTTACCACTCTCTGCTATTGCACATTTAAAATATTCCTGAATCCTATCCTCACTAAAGCAGAGAACAGATACTTGGTGACATGACCTGGCCCTATGTCTGGCCGGCTTGATAGGTGGCGTCATCTGAGAGCCAGAACTGCTCAGTTGTCCAACTACCATCACCGTATAACTGGCTCCACTAGTCTCACCAACAGCCACTACTCAGCCTTCTCTCTGAATAAATCTTAGCAAATCACAAAGTATCCACTCCTGTTTACCTGACAAGCATAATAAGCTAAACACTGTGCTAAGCTAACCAGTATACAAGCAGAGTCAGAATTCTAGACCAAACAAAAGACAAGATTGTCTATATGTAGTACACTACACGCTAAAACGTTCACAGCAATGAGAGACAAATGAACATAAGTTCTAATGACACTTTTTCAGTTTGTTATCTTTGGAAAATTGTTTTTCAAGACTTTTACTATTTTTCAAACCTGTACCTGACTCATGGACGAATCCTTATCAGCACTTGTCTAAGGATAGTATGTTGATCATCTGGTTAAAACAGGTGCTTTCTAGATTTAACAAAGAGATGACATTGGAATAAAAACAATTTTTAGCTTTGGGCATTCAGCAGTGACTTTGAGAGAGAAATAGAGGAAAGGAAAGATCTTCTGCAATCTGACAGGCTTTTTTCAAGTCTAAAAGGCATAAATATCACAGATAACTGACAGGCTTTAATAAAGAGGTTATATCAGCTTTGTCATGTCTTATCAGATGTCTGTTTGGTGCTGCATATGCTCTTTTGTCATGGGAATACAGTTTTGCAAATTCTGAACACCCTCCATGCCCTCCTGCCATTGCTGATGATAGATTGCAGGTTAAAATTATTCCCAAACACTATTTAGACTGAACTTTCCTGGTTAAGATCTTCCGCCATCTTGATTTCAATGTCAGATTTCACAGCCCTACAGCCCCAACTTTCACCTTCCTTTCAAACAGAAGTTTCAGCGGTGCCCTGCTCCACTGCTGTCTGTAACCTGGGCTCCATGTCCGCACCCAGCCCCTTTTCCTATTACCCGGCCTCGTACTCGTTTCCAACTGCAGGCGGAGTTATTTTCCTCAGCTCCAACCCCAGTGTGCCCCCGGGGTTCTACTAAGAGCACTGAGCAATGTGAGCACAGCGACTCACTCTCAGCGTGAAGGCTGAGGACGCTTGGATGCGTCCTGTCGTTGCTGTGGATGTGTGGGATTGGAGATCTGGCACACAGTGATGGCTCCATTGTTCGGGCACAGTCCATCCCCAGTCACATGGCTATAAATAACAGAAAATGGAAATAGTACTCACAAGTACAGTATCTCTCTTGGCAGCTTCAGTGCCAGCGTTTGAAGATGCCTCCTTCCTCCCATCACAGCAGATGTTTTTGCCGTGCCATATGGTTTGCATACCTTGTGCAGATATGGCTGCAGGGGAAGATGTGCAGTATACAGTAAAACCTAATTAAGGGCTGAATGTCCCATTTCCTGTGAGATGAAGTCGCTTTTTCATGCTTGCATACGCTTGTCACAGCCTTGTGCACAATTCTTTATTTTACCCGTGCTTATTTGTGTGGTAAAATACACCAATATAATTCTTACAAACAGTAATCTCATTTCAAAGTCTTTATTCATTACTTTAAACTTGATGATTAGCAAATGAATCCAGGCGGGGAAATAGCTTCTTTGTTTGCAGGCAGTAATTAAGTTAACTGGCTCTGTGTTCCCTCACGTCTATTTGAGAGCAGTCAGGATTGTACTGCAAACTTTTAATCCCCTTATTAAACGTAGAGAAACGTAGAAAAAGCGCATATACATATCTTGTGTTTCATCTTTATTAGACTGTTCAAAGTTGTGGGGCAAGAAAGACTCTCTTGACTGCACCAGACTTGAACTCAGAACATTACTGAGCGTGGACTTAAAACAGTGCTTCCCAACCTGGGGTTCAGGACCCCTCAAACGGATCTGAATGTAAATCTTAGAGGTTGTGAGACTCACTTTTTCAGGCTTTTCTCGAATCTGTATTTTCTTTCTGTACCTTTGACGTGTTCAACAGTTTTACGTCCTTTTTCAAAAGAAGCAATCTAAAGTTTGGAGGAGAAAACACACTCTTAAGTGGAGCTAGGTGTGATGTCCCTGTGATACAGTGCCTGTTTCCACTGCCTTAAGAAGCATTTCTGGTTTTTGTCAACCCGGATTTTATTTTCATATTTTTTGTGTGGTAAAATGTTATCATGACTATTATGCTATTAGTCATGTTAACATTTCACCCGTCTCCCTGTCCGTAGGGATGTGGGAAATGCAGACTCCAGGAAGAACATTCCCATGGACCACGACCACTGTATCTGTAATACTTTCTGCTGGACTGACAAACAAGTATTTTAGATGATTTTTGGAAAGCTGTAGGATGTCCTACCTGCGATCAGACTTTACTCTCTTGTCCTTGTTTCCCTAATCACTTCAACAGAGGGGGTGTGGTGAGTGAAATGGTATCACAACCAAAAGTTAATCAAGTCAGAGCTAATTTGATAACTGCTGGAATTCCCCTTTAGTTTGCTGCAGCACTAGAGGAGGGTAGCCCAGTATCATTGGAATTAGGTTCATACAGGACGATTCTGTACCTCCCGATTTACATCCATTTTCAACGTTCAGTGCCAGCTACATAAAGTAGCGTGCTCTTTATGTAGCAAGGCAGAAAGGAAGGGTGTGCAGGTCAAGATGGTGAACAGGCGTGTACAGTAGCACATCAGACTTTCATGCAGTGTCTTGTCACAGACCTGCTATTAATATTTGTCTTTTTATTAACCGTTACAACAGTCTTTTCCTAAACTTAATGAAGTGTTGTACACAGTGGCCTCTTCTTTACCTTTACCATATTATAGATGCAATGTACAGATAATGTAGAAAGTCACTGAACATAATCCAGAAAGCAGAATCATCCAGTATTGTTTTCTCTTACCTGACAAAAGGATTGGACAGTGGGACTTTATGGACAAAGACATGGACATGGTCTGTGGATGTTCTATATTAGAGGCCTGATGAACAGAGGAACTTTAAGAGGGAGGGTTGTACTTGTGGAATTCAGCTGTGATCTTTTTTACTCGAAGATACCCTTCTAACCTTTTTCTTCCTGCCACCACTGAGCCTGTTAATTCGAGGCGCCTGAGCCTCTAGCTGTAGATTTCTGAGACGTAGCAGGCGCTGGGCGGGGGCAGCTAGCAGCACAATTCTTATGGAAAGGCCAGAGCGTTTTTGTCATCTCTTTTTGTTTTGAGACCTCGGCTGGGGGAGAAATTTGGTCAGCACCGGCAAAGATCTTTGAAGCAGCTTTCTGCCCGCCGGACTCAACACGGCTCATCTGTCAAGCACTTTTACACACACACACACACACACACACACACACACACGTGTAGACACGCGTTTACTCATGCACATCCATACACAATCTGGTAGGGGAGACCTCAGTATCAGTGCATGAACAATCAGTCCAGGCCTGTTGTAAACAGACTTCTCCTACCCCTTCCCCTCTCTGCGCCTTGCTCCTCTTTCTGGCCAAAGGCTCCTCCTCCCCAAACTGGCTTCTCTCTTGTGGTCACCCTACAGTGATCAACAAGGACACGGGTCTCTCTGCATGCTGTGCTTACATGTCAGTGTGCAAAATATACATGCAAAACAGAAGGGAAGCTGTTCAGTGCCAAAAATTCAACATTTAATATTACAACACTTCAACTGAATGCAGCCCAAGGAAGAACTTGATATACCTAACAACCGGAACTTTCTTTTTTGTGTTGTGTACACCTCTATAGTGCTTATATTATATGCACAAAGCAAAGACAATTTGCATTTTTTAATAAAATTGAACAGCCTTCTCCCCTTTTTTTATATGTGTCCCTGTTGACCTGTGATGACCGATCCCTTATTCAAACTGAAGCAACAGCCAATCACATAACTAGCTCTGCCTTGTTTGTTTTGATTCACAAAGATATTGTGATGAAAAATATTCAGGAGGACTGTAACTAAGAGTTATTTTAACTATAGATTAATCTGCTGGTTATTTTCTCCATTAATCAATGAATCATTTTGTTTTGAAAATGTTGGAAAATTGTAAAACATGCCCATCATAATTTCTCAGAGCCCAAAGATGACAACTTTTGTTTTATCTGACCAATAGACCAAAGCCTAAGAATATTCAGTTTATTAGCACATATGACAAAAAGAAGGATTAACTCATCACATTTGAAAAGCTGGAACCAGAGTCTGTTTGGCAGCTTGCTGAAATGATTCATCAAATGTAAAAATCTATTTTTGATCATTTAAGTGGTTAATTGACTAATTGTCAGCTCTAATAAAGAGCCTTCACAGAGAGTTTATTGCTTTTGATCATTTTCATCTCTTGTCCCTAGTGTGCCTTTACATGTACAGTGTAATTAAATTAGTCGATACACGATTACAGATGTGAAAGTAGAGAAAAACACTTAACTGAAATGCATTGATTGTGGTGTACAACATACAGTATGTCGTGATGTATAAATGACGCAACATGTAGATGAATGTTTCTCTCTGCGACGCACAGTCCTAACCTCTGTATTTTCACATGCAGGACTTCCTGGGCCAGGCTTTCTGTACACTGGGTGAAATAGTCGGCTCTCTGGGAAGCCGCTTGGAAAAACCTTTGATGTAAGTAGGCCGCGTTGCTGTGCGCGCTCACGCACCAACAAACACACGCACTCACACAGTATGTGCTCTGCTATTTCAATTAGACACTCATAACAGAAAGCAAAGGGGAAAGTATTGCAGGGAGTCACTATATTAGCTGCTATAGAAAAGCTGTTTGGGCTCATATTTGGATTTTAGATTCTCTTCCATTCAGATGATGATTGAGACGTTGATGAAAGCGTACACTGTCTCCATCAGCCAAATGAGATGAATAGTTAAACAGCAGCAGGCCTAATGACAGACTGTAAACATGTTGAGATGGTAAACAGCGTGTAGTGAAAAGGGACAGTTCACCCAAAGGGAAGATGTCAGTGGTGAGCCCCCAGCTCGTTTTCTGAAGAGGCCTGAGTTGAACTGAAGCTTAGAGAAATAATCAGGCACATTTCCCTGTGAATAAATGTCTGATTTTCTTCTCTTTTGCTGATTACTGTAACAACATAGTGATTGAACCTATAGCCAGCTCATGAAAGATTTCATGTTTGCTGCTCAGTGTGTGGTTGGTCTAAACATGGAAACCTCCTCTGGTGCACAAGAAGTCTTTCCCCTGTCATTCTCAATCTCTAATGTCAGTTGTGTAAAACTGACAAAAATTCCAGACAAATCCTCGTGACACAGCAGTTTGTTTAGCATGAACGGAGGAAGAACTGAGCGGTTCACATGATCATATACATGGCTGCAGAGACAAAGAAGTGCGTTACCCACAGAAATGCAAATGGTTAGATGCAACACAGACTTGAAGCCCAAGTCAAGAGTTGGTTTCAGTGAACCGAACTGAGATTGAACGGAGACTTCCTCGACAGGTGGCCTCAGTTGCCATCACTGCAGGCTGTAAACGCCCCCTAATAGAAACTTTCTGCGTCAATTCATTTTGAAAGAGCAACAGCCAATGGGGAAGCTCCAACTCAGTCACGGGGCTTTCGGGTGACCAATGGTGGAAATATGATCAGTCAGTAAGTCAGTCAGCGACATTTGCATTTATAGGGCTGGCCCCGCTGTTGTAGTCCAAACAAAAGTGTATTTATTTTCAGCAAAATTGGGGATTAAAAAATTTGGTATAAGCACCGACATTCAGTTAAGAAAACAAAACAAAATGCATATCATTAATAATGTTTATATATTGTATGTATCTATTGCATGTTACTATCAAGTAAAAAGCACATATATCATATATTGATCAATCAAATATAATGAAACTATATTTTACAAAGGTTAGGTGACTGACAAACTAATACAATAAATAATACAACACAGAGATAAACAATAAACAATTCAAGAATAATTAACACCAAAAAATGAAAAAATATAGATATTAGATAAAATTTAAATAGGAACTTTAAAAGAGTTTAATAAAATGAAACCAACAGTCTGTAAAACACCTAATAATAACTGCATACCTACCATTCCAACACACACACACACTTTCTCCTAAACCCATCAAAGGCTCCTCATAAAGCCAGGATGGGCTAAGCTCTTAAAAAGGGAACAAACACTTTTTTATTTCACCACGTTGATAAACTGGGTTGAAGCTCCTCATATGATCTCAGCTGCGCTGTAACTGTCCTCTACCTCACCGAGCTGAACTGCAGCATCTTCATCTCCTCTTACAGAAGAGAACAATTTGTTGTTGCTTTTGTTTTCCTCCTGAGGCAACGAGCCATCAGTAGTCTGACCCTCGCCTCATCCCCTGTCCTGCGGTGGTGTCCAGTGTGTGTGTCTGAGATGGAAATAAGTGACCGTACTGTCGTCTACTTCTATGATGTCCCTGTCAGTGTGTGTGTGTGTGTGTGTGAATGTGTGTGTGTGTGTGTGTGTGTGTGTGTGTGTGTGTGTGTGTGGGGAGGGCAGACTGAATGAGCTGAATGGGTCTCCTGAAGAATGACACACAAGAAATATGATGTAAGAATGTGTTGCTGTCGCCGAGTTATGTAATCACCTCTGCCTGTAGTCATTCACTGTTTCAGTGTGTGTGTGTGTCCATGCATACCTGCATGTTTCATTTCTATCCTTTTTTTAGATATGTGAAGATATTTTTAGATATTCTGTATTCTTTTGTAATACTTGTTTGTGTTTGTATGACTGTGTGTGTGTGTGTGTGTGTGTGTGTGTGTGTGTGTGTGTGTGTGTGTGTGTGTGTGTGGTGTTTTTGTACTCACTGCCTCCAAGCACAAAAAAAACAAAACAAAACAAAAAAAAAAAACATCTTAAGTCAAATGCATCACACTGCTCAGTCAAGTGGAGGTGGATCACATAAATAAAGAGCAAAACAGACAACTGAGATGACAATAGGGTCCAAACACACGCAACACAATCGCAATGTAAGATTATGTCACATTTTTTGTATGATGTATTTTCTTCAGTGACTAACAGAACATTTTACAACGCAGTGTTTGTGTTTTGTTTCTGCTTCTGGGCGACTTTCATTTTTAACATTTTCAACAACGGTATCAGCACACCATGTTAGCTTTGTTGTAGCCATGTTAGCAAAATTGGACTTTTTAAATAGCTTTCTTACCATTGTGAAACAGGACAGTCGTCAAAATGTTTTTGCTCTTGTCTCAAGAATCATTGCACTTATTTTAACAAAAAATAAATCTACCTCATGTATCCTAAGACTGTATTTGATGTTTCTGAACCCTGAATTATGTTTGACAGTAACAGTGGGTTACATTTTGGAACATTAATTTTCTAAATAATCAATTTTTACAACATTTGTGCATTATGCTATAGTTTAACGCTGGTTATTGCAGGAGAGAGATGATCATTGAACATTGGTGTTATTCTGTGCAGGGAAATAGGACAGTGGCATATCCTGACATGTTGAACCGTCACTGCAGGTTGTTAGAAAAAACGATGGATAGTGGTAAAATACCTAAAGAGACACTTCCAGTATGCACACTTCCAACGTAACAAACATAAACCAAACAATCTAGGCACCATCTTGTGGTGGGATCACACCAGCCGCACTTGCCTATCAACATGTTGATGTTCCGACACATGTTCCAAATACTCAGTAGTCATGTGTCGGACCACACCCATCTTTTAACTCTGCCTTTATTTTGATCTCAACTACGCACTTGTAAAGTTTTGTGACTGTATCTTGCACGGCTGTGGCACTATCAGTGATAGTGATCTGTCAACATCTGTGTACATCTGTCTACATCTGTCCAATCTTTCCACAGACAGAGACATATAAACACCTGCCAAAATATTCAACACCACCTCCATCGTCACAGTAGGTGTCTCCAGGACAACATTTTGCACACACACACACACACTCACAAGGTGAAAACAATACCAGCCTCACTGTCACAGCTGGTAACCAGACAAGTTAAATACAATTTTGAGTATGATGCAGTCTAGAGGAGCTGTGCATCCTCTGAGTGCTTTATATTTTTAACATGCTACCTTATCAGAATATAAGATATCATCTTCATTACACATATATAAAATATTGATTATCCCCATCTACAAATCCATTTCAGTGGTAATCAAGTACTGATGTGTTCAGGCTTTCACTCAACAGTATCTCATCCACTTCTCCATCCATCTAATGACTCTGTTCTTCCTCTCTTTGCCCCTGTGACTGTCCATATCTGTCCTGTTCCCCTCTCTCCCTCTGCCATTTGTCCATCTGCCCCCGTACTGAGCAATCTCTGCTCATACAGTGAATTCATTTCACTGAATGCTTCCTGTGCATCAAAGGACACAGTGTGTCTCAGGCTGATTGGGGGGGGGGGGGGGGGGGTCTTTCAAAGCCTTGCTTCAATTTGCCATCAGTTTCTCCACATGTGTTATTGTGGGCTCTCTCTGCCATTACTGGACAGTACTTAGCCAAATGAAATTATCGCTGCCCTTCCTCGTTCTGAATCAGGCCCGGGGTCTGTGGCATTCATTTGGTCTATTTTTAGTGGTTAGTCTCCCTTGGCTTTATTGGCTGAATATTACGCTTTGCCAGCTCAGGATGTAAACAAACATTGCAGCTGAAATGTCACTAGTTGTGGTTACATTATTTTGATGTTCTTTTTTGGAGGTTTTCAGTCAGCATTCATTAATATTTATTTGGACAATCAGGTAATGAATGTGAGAGACTAAGATGAAGATAAATTTGATTCCAGGTCTGCAGGGGTCTCAGTTGATAGGTATTTTACATTTTGTATTTTCTCAGTTTGAGCATTTATACTGATGCTTTAACCACAAATTAATCTTACATTCTCCAAGAGCTTTATTATTACTGACATCAATGCTTTATCTCTCCTGAAGCCACAGTGTGCTGGATAAATGCTACACGACGAAACAGGAAACGCAGGTGCTTTATCACCTTAGATGAGATATGATTGGATTAGATTAGATTAGATTAGATTAGATTAGATTAGATTACAGTCAGTACAACAAAATGCAGTTTAGCATCAAAGCAGGAAGCTCAAACAGTAGTAAAGTGCATACAGACATATTGTATATGAAATTTAGTAAAAGATACTATGATGTTTGCAGAATAAACAACAAACCACTATGGAGAGACAGATTTTTAAACGACGGTGCAAATACAGTTTGTATGAAGCTCCATGTGTTAGTAAACAGGGTCAATGAAAAAAGTTGATGAAAAAAATGGAAGAACCAAACATAAAAAAACTAACGGAAAAAAGTTTGAAATGATCTATAATACAATACAGTTTCAATAGATTCTTTTAGTTCAGTTTGGGCTTAACTCCCTTAAACCACTCAGACAGATTCTCCCTGTAACTGTGATACTATTGTCTTACCTGTCATAAACCCGCAGCTTGAAGTGTGTGGCTGCTTGAATTTAATGGAAATATTGTGTTCTTCTCTCTTTTTATTTTTAGTGGGATCCCAGGGAAGAAATGTGGCACCATCATAGTGAGAGCAGAAGAGCTGAGCAACTGCAGGGTAAGACTTCGCTTGGCTCCCTTGTTGATTAATTTAAAGTCAAACTTTCAGACGTTCAGATGCTTTCCTTTAATTAGCTCCACTCTTTTGAAGTGACAAGTCTGAACAGTCTGGTATCCACACAGTTTGAACTAAAAACTAATAGTAAGAGTTTGCCATACATATTCTTAAATTGCTGTCATCGCTAACAATTTTATGTAAATTTTAAAACATACACAAGTGACTAATACGCACACACATACATACACACACAAATACAGTAAATACACTTGGTTTACAGTTTGTTAAGTGCACCTCGCTAAAACTAATGCAATCTCAACTAATTAAACTGCCCTACAGTAAATTCTACCTTCACCCCATTTACATCAGTGAGGACTGACTAAATATTAGAAACAGCTCTCAGTACAACTTAATACAATGAGGCGTGAAGAGAGTTGAGGTAGAGTAGAACAAAGCTCCCTTTGGTTCTTGTAACGTGTCTTTGGCTGTACCGGAGTTGTGAGATTTTAGAACTTGTACTTTTTATTGCTTTTACTGCCAGTTTCCCTGATTCCCCTTGAATCTCTATAAATATTTTGTACAAAGGGTAAATGAAGATGAAGCAGTATTAACACACATCGGACTGTTTGACACTGTTGTCATGTCTTCAGTTGAACTTTGTGCTGACTTTTAGAAAAAAAACAATTTCTGAAAAAACAAAGTACCTTTTGTTGTTTGGTGGTGTTTTGACCACCTTTGGTACATCACTTCACCGCAAGATACTTCTATTGAAGCTTCAGTGGAGTGTGATAGCTCAATGCTTTGTCAGAGGTCAAAACATCAAACAGTAAATGTCACAATACCGTCAAAAGTCAAAGGACAACGGCTCTGAGCTTTTCATTTTCACCTAAATATGACAAGAATAAGGAGAGAGAACTGGTGTGAAAGAGGCAGAAACATCAGTCAATATGCCAGAATGTATTGAAGCCATTAGAGAAGTTGACCCACTCTCTTACTTCTGTTAACGAATGAAACGCATTCATTAATCTGGGCGCTTTCTAAAGACATGCAGGGAAACAAAAGGAAAGGCTTGATTAAGAAGTAGAACACAGGGAAATCCACTGTACCAAAAACATTATTTACAACACTGCACATCATTAATTATAGATTTATGATGATATCATGGTAATAATAGAAGTGTGTTTGAGGGCAGAATTAAGCCTGATAATCTTGATTTAATCCTCTCGTCTCTGTTTTTGGGGCAGGTGAAGATCAAATATTAATTAATCAACCCAGAACATGGTGGTGAAAATACCCAGATTCATGCAACTGCAATGTGTTCTATCCTTTTCATTAATATTGAAGTCATGTAGAAATTGTGCCAATGCTACATTTAGGTGATAATACAGAAATCAGAAAGATCAAACTGATTGTGAAAATGTGTCTTTTCTTTGTGAAGAACATGTATGTATCTACAGCAAATAAACAGCAACCTTTTATTGGTTTATTTACGTTTTGGCCAATATTATTCAGTTTTATTACTTGTCCTGATAGCAGTGGGTCATATTGTGTGTCACTGTTTAGGACCTGAGGCTGTGTAATGTACATTATATATTTTGCTTCCATCTCTTCTTCTCAGGAGTCGGTGATGCTGCAGTTCTGTGGCAACAAGCTGGATAAGAAAGACTTCTTTGGAAAATCTGATCCTTTCCTCGTCTTTTACCGCAGTAACGAAGACGGATCGTAAGTTGACAGGCAGCTTTCCCCCCGTGGTATTTGCATCAATTTTCTGAATTAACAAAAGCAGCTGTCTCAGTTTTACACACACACACACACACACACACACAAGACGCATTTACACAGGATGTAAAGATGCCTGAAATGCATATAGACTCTTTATGTAATTTTTCATGCTCCAAAAAGCTCCCATACATAGGATATAAGGTCTAAACTGCCTATGTGATGTGTTACATAATGCTCAGTGCTGTATATGTGACTTATGCCATCGTCAACAGGAGAACGCAGCAGAGGGAGGGATGAGCAGAGATAATAGGATGGAGTTGACAAGAGGAAAATAAAGGGAGAAAGAATGGATAAGATGGACTTAAATGAAAAGTGTGTGTGGAGGTCACAGTTTCTTTGCCCCGCAGATGCTTTTATTCAAGTCGACTTCAGCGTATCACACGTAACACATTCTCTTTTTGTGCAGCTGGGTATTTACTGATGCAGCCTAAATGTTCAGCCACGGGGCATAACAGCAGCACGCCGCGGCTACAAAGAGCCAGACTAGTTACCATATGAAAAAGAACAGGAAGCGGTTGTTTCAGCTGAGGATCAAGCGTTATGAAATACTTTTAACATAACACTCCCCTTAATAACAAAGAGAGGAGGTGCACACAGGTTTTTTCTTTTACCTTTAAGGTAGATTTGTCATCTGTTAACAGTGGTGTGTGTCTCACAGGTACACCATCTGCCACAAAACAGAAGTGGTGAAGAATACTCTGGACCCTGTGTGGCAGGCTTTTAAAATTCCTGTCAGGGCGCTGTGTAACGGAGACTATGACAGGTACAGTTGGAGACAGCGGGAATCCCACTAACACAAACATTTCACTGATAATGTTTATAGTGGAACTAATAAAATTATCTCATAGAGTGAACATTATTTTTACAGCAGAGTTCAAGAATTGCAGAAGGTTCTCAGTGAAACATCAGTTTGAGCACAACCAGGGGTATTCAATTAAAATACCAAGAGGTCCAGTTAGACACAATGTCCTCAACTAAAGGTCCAGAACGTTGCTCTATCCCACTTTACTTTCCCGGCTTATTTCTCAGAAGCCGTCTCTCACTGTGTATGTGTATCTCACTGACTGACTTGAGTTGCAATGATTGGCTGAGTAGTGTCACATGACCAGTGGCGTAAAGGCTAGAAAGGCTGCGCCGCGTCAAATAGAAATGCTTCGTCAAAATGTAACAATTCTCAATAATTTATAGGTTATACATCCAGCCGTCCGCCTATCAGTGACCTCTGAGTTAGACCATAGCATTTGATTTGATTCGGTTTTACAGAAAGAGAAAAGATGGATTTTATTATGTAAACTTATTGTGTACTTGTCATATATTTGACTTGTGTACACAACAGTGAACACAGCACACAGGATTAAAACTTTTAGAATCCATTTTTTTTATTTCACTGTGATTTGGATGTTTAGTAACACCAACCTGTGGGCTGCGGCCCCCTGGTGGGCCGCGAAGGTATTGCAAGTGGGCCAACTAATCGTTTGCAAAACAGTATCATTTTGGTGAAAAAAATTTGATTATATTAAAAAAATAAATATATAAGTAATGTCCCTAAATGTTTTCAAATGAAATGATCTTTAAAAACATAAAAAAAATAAATTAGAAAAAAATAAATTTAAATTTTTCTCGTTTTAAGGCCTATCACTGTGATGAGCCACTTTGGAGACTGTGGAGCGTCCTGAATGTTTCCCCTGCTGTCAGGTCAATCCTGAATGTTTGATCTTTATCATTAAAGTAAAAAGTGCTCTGAGAGCACATTACTTGGCTTACATATTGTTAAAGGGTCGGATGTGGACATCCAACATTTTTACAGACCGCTAATCTAGTGGTCGCTGTTCTTGCAAATACAAATACCAACTGACACAGTACTGATAATAAGACTTGAGGCTGCTTATACAATATTTAGTCTAGCTACCTTATTTTTAGACAAGTACCGACACCTTTAACAAGTACAAATTAAAAGTGTCAGCTTTTCATCTGCTCCTGTAGACACTGTCGAAATACAACCAAGAAGAAAGACGTAATTCTTTTTTATTCTCCTGGTTTAGTGATAACAATGTTCTGCGTTGCGTGGGCTCGTCCACTTCCACGTCCATGGACCAGTCCCCAGCTTTTTAAGCAGAAAGGCTGTAAATCAGTGGCGCTGATTGGTTTTTTAATAGGATTTCCCTCTCTTTCCCTTGCTCTTCCCTTTTCCTACAGGAGCATAAAGGTGGAGGTGTACGACTGGGACCGAGATGGAGGGTGAGGGAACAATGCTTTTTCTTTTGTGCTGTTAAACTACTGCACTGTATCATATAATGCTCCATCCATCTGTATCCATATTGACATCCTGCTGTGCAAGACATCCCACACACATTTGCATCAAGGCCCTGGGGCAGAGTAAATGCATTCATTAACAATGAGCTATACAGTGTGATAGCTGTTTATTTCCTACATGAAAAATGTAAAGAAACCATTTTCTCCTGATGACACTGATATTTGATGCTGTTCAAAAACTAAAAAACTGCCCTGATAATGTAAGAGCATATGTGCAAAGTGAGGAAGGGCATCAGGGATTAAAGCCACAGATCACACTCCGAAATGTTTGTCCTTAAGCAGCCTCCTGTTTCTCACTGTGAGAGTAGATACTGCAGATAAACTATCACTGCAGAGCCCTGCATGTGACAACACTCCCGACTGCTTTAAATATACATTAACTATTAATACTGCTTGAATGGTCTCTTGACAGATACCTTCATAAAGTCATAAAGGGGAGTAAAGAGTTTATCTTTCAAAGCAAGTGAATTCACAGTATTGAGGGGCACAGTTTGCCCCCTTCATTGTTAATTTCACAGGCAGTTTTTGACATTTCAAGGGCACTTTGCCCCGAGCTCCCATTAATTTCTGACCCTGATTCCAACTGCGCTGATTATCTCCATGAAATTATGAAATTGGTTGCTACCAGATTACATGCCTCCGGAAACCAAGGAGCTTGTTAGTGAAGACTTTACAGACAACGTGAATACAGGACAAAGGAATGAAAAGAATCTGTAATTCTCAAGCATTTTACTGTTATTAGAGGTTCTTTTCTTTTTCTGACGCTGCTTCACAACAGAACTATGATACAGAACACGTAGGGTTTTTCAGATGAGGAGAGATGTGACCGTGTGTTCACTGTTGCAGCCACGACTTCATCGGCGAGTTCAGCACCAGCTACAGAGAAATGTCCAGAAGCCAGTCACAGTTCCACGTCTATGAGGTGATTTTCTTCTCTCACACACACACACACACACACACACACACACACACACACACACTTGTGCTTCCATACTTGTAAAGATTCATTATCTTCTAACTCTAATCTGACCCTAATTCAAATCCTAACCCTCACACAAACCTTTGAAGAGGGGAGGCCCAGACAAAACATCCTCACAAAAGCTCCCATATCAAGCCTGAGATGGAAAAAAAAACTTTAAAAATAGTTCAAGTTTAGAGGAGACACACACCAGATAACCAAAAAGTCAGCAGGTGTCCAAATTAAAGACAGACAAACAAACTAAACAATTTTGTTGCAATAGAACAAAGCTATTGCACTATGCATGTATTTTTCCACAATGTTTCCAGAATTATTGATACTGAGAGTTTTGTTCAGAGGAGAGCTGAGAGCTGAGCTATACACCCAGACTACAGTGACCATGTTACTTGCAGCAGATTCATAAAGAAAAATCAAGTTGAATTGAGTAACAGTTTTTATTTAGATTAGCAGCAGAGAAAAGCTTTGGCAAGAATTAACTGAACTGGCTCAAGAGACACAGGTAGAAATCTGATTAGTCAGATGTGGTGACGTTAGAATTGATGAGTAAAATGAACTTTGACAGAGTGGGAAGTGACAAAGAAATTATTATATTACTATGTTCATTTGTTATTGCACACAAAAAAACAAAAAACATGATGGAGGTGGCAACATAACCCCTCTCTCTCCTCCAGGCTCCAGCGCATCATGTTTTTTCTGTGTTTGTGGCTTTAGAGACAGACATGTTACTTACAGCCTGATAAGACTAAAACTGGATGAATACGTACGTCAGAGCTTCTTGTAGAAATTCCCATGTTTATTTAAATCACATCCCCTTAATTTAAATATTATTTAAACATCACTATTTTCCAGAGCCTTCTTCAAGGTGAGCCAGTGGGGCGCATCACCACCTCATACTTATTTAGTAGTTTTTTCTGGTTTATGCTGCAATTCAAATCATTACTTCCACTGCACACACTGACATGGGGGAATACATCAGGGATTATACTGTGACTCTTCTGATTATTTAACAGGATGCTGTGCTGAAGTAGTGTAGATGATAATGTACGGTGTATGCTGTTAAGATGGTTAGCGCCCGTTCCTCAGAAGACTTCGATCCCTTCCTTGAATGCTCAGTGCAGTTCACTCACTGGTCCATTAACTTCTACACCAGCTGCGTTTTAGCAAACCATAAATCACTGAAGGTCAGTAAAGGTGCTCATGAAGCACAACCTGAATCACATAGTGAGGAGGCAGGAAGAGCAGGGTGTGCTCTCTCCACACTCGTCAGGCCCGGGTTGTCTCTGCCTTTTTCTTATTAGCTCTGCGCTGGATTTTCCACAGACTCTGAAAAATCCCAGGACACAGTATGAAAACTGAAACGAGCCACTCAGACACAGGTTGTGTAAAATCTGAAGGGAGAAATTAAACAAAACTAATTTCCTCATTAACTGAATGTAATGTAGTGATAGAATTTCTCTGTGTACAAACTTATTAAAAAATAATTTAGTTACATTTTTCTGAACAGTCTTGGAGCCAAAATGAGTCAGGGTTTGTGGCTGCAGTTGTGTCACCCACTGCTCGCTGAGACACCACAAAGTGGATTCATGTTTGTGTTTTCTCCACAGGTGCTAAATCCAAAGAAAAAAGGAAAGAAGAAGAAAAAGTACCAAAACTCAGGAACGGTGAGTCAGCAGTTTGTGCAGCCTTCACTTTCTCAATGATGTTTTTTTCCATTGTGACACTAACTCTGCACTTACACTTGAGGCCCAATTGATATTCAGAGCTCATGTGAATTGTTTATCTATTTTAATACCAATGGTATCAAAACGACAGGTGAAAGACAGTGTGTGTATATTTAGCTTTAATTTGCACTTTTATGTCTCATTGTCTTTCTTGCTAAAATATCTCTGGAGTTTGAATCTATATCTTTATGGCAACACTAATAAATATAAAAATGTAATGTTAAGCTTCCCTATACCTCAGGATCAGATGTAGTTCTGAACATACATCATACAATGTGGGTTGGAACTGAAGAATCACAGTTCTGAATTAGGGCAACTGTCCCAACTCCAGGGTTCTCAAAAGCCCCAGGTTCAATGTATATGAGTTTGTTTTTGGTAATTGATTACTCAAAAATGTGTTTGGGAGTAAGTAAAATATCTAATGTTAGATGTGTGTAACATAAACTTACAAGCCTTATAGACATGTTTGATGAGGTTATGATGAGTACTAATGTAATTTACAACCCTTTTAATTGTGGCTCAGTAGTTAGAGGAACTGGCTGTAATGATCTTGATTTAATTAAATCAAGTTAATTTGTCATGTTGCCCATTATTACAAGCTTGTAGCAAATAACTTAATAGATGAGAAGAAGCCCTTTTAGATTTGAGTAATGAACAATTACAAAAATTGAAACAATGTTACACATGAGAAATAATGAAAAGCACAACAAAGAAGGAGACACAGAAGAGCAGAGTCTGCCTAACCAGGCTGACTGCTGATTTTACCATCGCAAATGAATAAAATTAGAAACATTCGATCATTGGTTTAATCGGAGAATCAAGTGCTACATTAACAGACTCAAACTTTTAAAGTGGTTCTTACCTAATTCCTACACTTTTCTGGCTTACAGGTCACTCTTCTGTCCTGCCTGGTGGACACTGAACTCTCATTCCTGGACTACATTAGAGGCGGGTAAGTTCACACTGAACGGCATCGTATGATTCTGCAGAGATTAAGTATTACTATCATCATTAAAACCGGTTGCAGTTACGGTGCAGTGTAAACTCTGCAGAGACTCAGTTGAGAGGATTACTGCACCGTGTTTATCTCTCAGCTCCAATATTAAGACTGCTGCCGATAACCTGCTGCTTAATTGCTTGCTGCCGCATGCTTTGAAACATGCTGTGGTATAATCTAGCATGATTGATGATGATGACGTTATTCCTTACATGGTTTATTTTCTCTTGTAGGACTCAGATTAATTTCACAGTGGCAATTGATTTCACAGCATCAAATGGTGAGTGTGTTAAAGCTTTGCTCTTATCACTGAAATCCTGCAAGGGTTTCGAACACATCAAGTGTTGGTGGTTAATGCTCAGATCTTTATTTGATGTGAACTGTTAAGTGATTCCTTATCAGTCAATTTTAATTTAATTATTCTAATGACACTTCACCGTCTTTTACAGAGCTAGAGACAAATTGTGGGGTAAAGCAGCAGAAAGTTGGACAATTATTTGAACATTATCTGTTGCTTTAAACATCTGAGCTCTGTTTGATGTTGTTTATTAACCACACTTTGTACACTTTGTGCCTCAGTGTTTACAGAAAGCCATTACACCCACGTTTTTTTAAATTTCATTTGCTCTTCAGACCGTTGTACCATGCAGGGAAAGTTTATGAAGCCCCACAGGTAAACTCCTTTGTCAGTAATCACAATTTAACAACAGACGAACACAATTGTGGGCAGAAGACTGTGACAGATGAGTGATGTTCTCCTTTTAGTGAGATATGATGTAGAAAATTAATATATGTAACACAATTTTGGAGACATCACAGGAGAGATGGCTTTCTGCACTGACATCAAATCAGTTTCTCACAGTCCTGTTTTTCTTTGAGCTCCAGTTTCTCATACTTTATTCAAACTATTAACAGAAGTTGTGTCAGAATATGACTGTGACAATTTATAATATTTCACAAAGCAGTTCACAGACAGTCATATTAAAGGATAAGGCTGGCGATATTCTTTGTTTTCCTTATAATCAATATTTAAAGACCAAAACCAACAATGAGCAGCTCAAGTAATACATGTTATTCCTCTGTGCCTTAGAGCACAATTGTTATCCAAAAAATATTTTAAAAAACATGTCAGTGAGCTACATCATTGCACTAGGTGACATGTTCCTTCATCACCAAAATACACACTGTAGTTTATTTTCAATCCCACATACGACTTTCTATCAAGCAGCAACCACCAGGCCTTGAAAATGAAGCCAACACTGAAGTTCTTAAAGTTAAGTAGAATTGAGGGCGTGTCACTTTGAGTGACAGGTGGGTGAGCATATGCTTGTCACTAACTAGCATTCAGCGAAGTCTCAGCTCCGCATATGCCCCACCTCTTTGTCGATTTCTGAAATAGCTGGGAGTTAGGGGTGGAGTCAGGCACTACCAAGATGGCGACAGTGGAACAGGTCACACCGATCTTCAAAACTTCAAAATCTTTAGAAACCTGTGGGTGACGTCACAGAGGCTACGTCCATCTTTATATACAGTCTATACTTCCCGCTTCCATAAACAGTCATTAGCACACCAAATGTGTAGTAATCTGCAGCTGAAAATAGTCCCCCAACTAATGCACTCGTCACTCACTCTTCACTCAAACTACAGTGCCCAGCTGTTTAAAGAAAAATTGCTGAGCCTTTTTAAAGAATGAGACTGTATTTGTGAGTCATTTTTAAATATTCACGTCATGTTAAAAAAATGGGACTGAGTGCCACAGACAGGGTATGGAAGTTGGAATGTACTTAAAGATGAACTAAAACATTGTTAGTTTTGTTCTTGTCATGATGTTTTGATGACAATAACAAACATGTATAACACCAGCCTTATCTTTTAATGTCACCACTGTGGTTGCAGTTTTTTGATTCAGTTCATGTTTTTTTTTTAATCTGTTTTCATTTCTCTGTTTGTGCCAAAACAGAGACAAGACAAATGTAGCTGATGACTTATGTTTATCATTCCTTGGCTGTATTTTAATTTGTCAAGAGCAGTTTCTTGCACTTATGGAGAAATTCGTTTTTTGCAAATGAAAAAGTTTTAATCAGACTATTACTGAGTAATCGCATCTTTACTGATTTCATTCATCAGCATTGCAGAGAAGATCTTGGAGGGTCAGCAGGTCACTGTAGCGGCACCATCCTATTAGTGTGGTAGTTAAATTGCAACAGTGCTGTCATACTTAAAAACTGTGGTTCCTCACACTACCCGCTGAGGTTTAGACAACCAGTGAGATTATTTCTGCCTCCAGTGCAGCTGTGCCTTGGGGAAATGTTTGTGTAACTAAAACTCCAGTCTGTGTTTTAACCCCCTTCCACCCACTCCCCTCCTTTTTATTTTAATATGACTCAGAGCCCAGGGGGAGCAGGCATAATTACAGTTTGATGCTGATGTGTGTTTTATTGTGTTGAACCATTCGGGTCCCAGGCAACCCGTCCCAGCCCACCTCGCTCCATTACATGAGCCCGTACCAGCTGAACGACTACGCCATGGCGCTGCGGGCTGTCGGAGAAATCATCCAGGACTACGACAGCGACAAGATGTTTCCTGCACTTGGCTTTGGTGCCAAGCTTCCCCCAGACGGACGGGTCTCGCATGAGTTTGCCCTGGTGAGGAAACAGCTTTATTTCCATCTTTAATATCATCCAAACACCCAACCTTTTAGTCTTTCATATACTTATCCTTCAACCTTTTTATTCAAAGGTACATAACACTCATAACAATACATTTAAACACTTATCCACGTATCCATCTGTGCGTCCATCTCTCTACCTATCCTCATGCAAAACATGCAAACATCTGGCTACTTATTATTTACACATCATTACCATGACCAAACAAAGCCAAAGGGAAGAAGACTCTCCCTTCTCTGGGCCTCTTCATTATTTTTCCCACTATGTGCCACCAGGTCAGTTTTTGCAGGAACTTGCAGGAATGATTTAAGCGACAGCATCTTGCTTTACGGCACAAAACAGGTTCTTCTTTAGCTAACGATGCTAAATACTTTCTCAAAGCAATGAATAATGGAAGTGACAAATTGAACAAAATGACAGTGCTAACTTGCTAATGTTTAGCAGGTTTAATGTCTACCATGGTCACCATCTTAGTTGTCTGTTACCAAGCTAACAATACAGGTACAGGTTAGGTTAATGGGAATAGCATTAGTTTCATTAGTCCATAGACCAAAGCTATGAACAAATTAAAACATAGACCTGATGATGGCAAAACGCAGAGCATCAAAGTCATAACGAGACATGGTCTGGGAACCATGAATGTCTGAACCCAATTTTGTGGCAATTCATCAAGTAGATGTGGAATTATTTGATTATGGATCATTCAAAACTTTGACCTTCCGTTTGCACTAAAGGAAAAGTCTAGGGATCATCAAGTTTTTCGGATTTATCCTCTGGGAACCATGAATGTCTGTACCAGATTTCTTGGTAATCTATCCAGTAGTTAAAGATATTTATCCTCTTGCGTAAAATTTGAGACAAAATCTTTGGAAATAATATTCTTTTGTGACATGAAACATTAGGTTCCACTTGAAGTGTGCTGATTTTGAACAACATTAAGATTAAGACATTGCCATTGTAAAACAAATCCAAATTTGGCTTGTTCTCAAACTTCTGTTGAGTACGGCGCTGAGAGTAAATCTTTTAATGGCTTTCATGCCAGCTGGAGGAGCATGTCTGTCACAGTGAGAGTACAGACATCATGCATGTTTCTCAAACCAAGCTGTAAACATAAAGTTTTACCAGAACTATGTAAAAACTCTGTAAAAGTAAACTGAAAAACGCAAACAGCCTGAGACCAGGCACTTTCACAAGGATAGGACCAATTACAGGAAACAGTCTATTGGTGGGTGGTGAACACTCCTGTCCAAATACATGAATAAATTCAGCCAGCTAGTCTGTGCACACTGTGGTGATGAAAGCCAAATGAGCTGTTTAGTATCTGGCTGTAAACTAGCCATTTTGGCCATGCAAACACACCACAGTTATTTCATTTATTTATTTATTGTCTATTTATTTATGTAGCGTTAACGCCATATTTTAGAATTTACTCTCGTTGAAATGGGGCACCAGTCCTCTGGGAGGACAACAATGAATTACTTCATTGCCAAATTTATCAATCTCATATCGGAAGCCATGACTTCTCGATTCAATGGATCTCCAGTCTCTACGTCAAAAGAATACGACAGGACAACAACTGGGTGTAAATAAAGGAGTTTATTAACTAAACTACTCTCTACAGAGTAAATGCAAGGTGTAATAATCATAGAGATGAAAATAATAAGGAAATGAGCAGTGTGATGAGTTGGCAATGGTGGGAGAGAATATGTTATGGCTATACACTATGGCTATACAGCTAATGATGCTACATCTACGAATTAGGTTTGATGATTAAATATTACTATGTTTCAACATTAACCCAGTCATGAGCAGAGTGTTAAGACCGGCCTACTGTGAGTTGCGCTGTAGCTGGAGACCCTCGGCTGGAACCCAGGTGGCTGTAGTTGCCGTGGTAACCCTGGAGACTCGGGATCTAGGTGGATTCTCCTGGAGGCCGTGTCCCGTTATCACGATGACGGATTCTGCCGGTGTCTCAGCAGTTCAGCCCTGGTGGAGTTTGCCAGGAGACTTTCTGTCTCGGGAACTCTTGATTTGTGCTCGGCTTCTCTGCAGGCGGTCGTGCAGAGGTGTTATCTGCCGGCGTCTCTTGCGGGTTGATGCGAAATAAACTCTAATGCTCTTCACTTTGGCTGGATAACTTTAGAGGAGACTGGCGTTGACCAGATGACTCTAAAGTTGTCAAAATCTTCAAAAAGGAAAACTTGATGATGATTAAAAGTTACAAAATTACTCTGAGGCACTTCTGTTGTTTTGGTTCAGTTGGTCTTGACTTGGCTTATAAAAATAAAAGATCGCGCATGTAGACAAAAATCATGTTACTTGGAGCTTGTGGCAAAGAAAAATAAAAGACGCGAAAAGTGCAAAAATGACTAAGAGCCATGAGTTTGTGGCTAGCAGCTTAGAGCTAAGAGTTTAAATGGCTACAGAGCCGGGCTTTGAGCCAGGACTCTGAGCTTTGAGCAAAGATCTCAGCTTCTAGTTTCTGCATCGTTTCTCGCTTCTCGCATCTTCTTGTCATCTGGGTTCCTCTGACTTTTCTTTCTCTTCTGGTTCTCTTCTGGCCAGTTCTGACTGTGTGAATTGTTCATGACTGTTTTATCCCCTGGGGGGCTGGCGCATGTTTCAGGGGCGTCACTCATCGTCTCCTGTGTTTCCACTTGGAGAAAGGAGTAATTTTCCACTGAACTTTGGAATAATTTAAATCTAGAGTTTACTTATAAACTCACACATCCGTCTTCCACCATGACCACAAAACATTAAGTGAAATAAGATATAAAACTACTTGCACTAATAATGGCAGAGAGGAGTAATAGGAGTGTTGATTTCATATTACATCCTTCAAACCTGGAATTAATCATGATACAAGTGGTTAACTGATCAAACAACAATATAAACATTTCCCAAAGCTAATAGTCTATAAATGTGGATTACACAGCAGTTCTTTGACTGTAATAATAATAATATGGACATGCTGGATGTCATGTAGTGTGTGTTACCTCGTGTGAAGGATGCTGACAGTATGGTCACATGAAGGACATTGTCTTAAAATCTACATGTTACATTTCAAACATTCTATGGGACAGAAGTTTGGGATTAAACTATTGCATAGGAACATCTCATGAGTTACAGAACAGCTAGATATTTAATTTTACATTCTTCCTTAGATCTGTGTCTGTGAAGAGTGTTCTGCTTGTCACTACCCAGGGTTGGAATGTGGGTTGTAGTTTATGACTCTTATCTAGAGAGGGACAGAGGAAGGGAGGTTGGTGTGTGTGTTCATGCATGGCACAGACAGGCCAGGATTCACACCTTAGTGTTAATCAGTCCTTTTTGTTGTTACTTGTCCTATACAAGAAACAATCAAATATCATTAGACAGAGTCTTATTGTTACAAACTGGAGATTTTGCCTTTATTCTCCAGTTGCCTGGTGTCCATTGGTTGATCCTCTGGAGCTGACCCTTTGACCTTTGGTCTGGTTCTGTGTCTCTCTGTAATGCTAACAGCATGGTCTGTTTGTGGAAGAGGGGTCCTTTGTCTCTGTTTCCTATCAATTTGATAGTTTGATGGTGGGAAGAGTCTTCCTTAATGGCTTGTGACTGATGCCAGGCCACGTATGTACGCTACATTTATAAGTCTTGCTGGTGTGACAGATTGTAACAACTGTTTCATTTCTTTATCTGTATTATGACATGGTATGTCAGTGGTTTGATAACGCTGACAAATGGAAATCATGGAATCATGCAGTGCTTAAAGGGATAGTTTGGGTTATTTGATGTGGGGTTGTATGTGATATTTATCCATAGTCAGTGTGTTACCTGCAGTAGACTTGAGTTGGCGCGTTCCCAGTGTGGAGAAGCAGGCAGGAGTAACGACGGAGCAGCTGAGTGATGTGCTGCGGTGGATGGGGATGGCAGAAAAAATTTATTTTAGCCATTTAAAGAATGCCCACCTAAAAAGTCAATAATAGTTGAAGTGGATGCTTTATTTTGAATATTGTCACTACTTTATCTTGTCATCAACCAGCCCTCTTCTTTGGCACTACGTTCTCTCAACCGTTGAACTATCGTATTTCTACGCATAAGCACACTTACACCACGCACTGTATTATACTGCAGATCAGCTGCTTGAGTCATAAAGGGCTGTTAAGATGTTTTAGGCAAGCACTTGCATTTTTGCTGCTGTCCCCATCCACAGCAGTAGATCTCTCAGCTTCTGTGCCGGTACTCCTGCCTGCTTCTCCAAACTGAGAGCATGCTGACCCAGATCCCACTGCAGGTAATACACTGACTGTAGATAAGTGCCTCATACAATCACACATCAAATAACCCAAGATATCACTTTAAATATAAATAATCTGGATTATCGGTTTCTTCATTCTTCACTATCAGCATGCAACCATTTCTCATCCTCCTCCAATCCATCCATCCATCCATCCATCCATACCACCCTGCCAATGTCAAAGCACTCCAGGGCTGTAGACATCCTGACCATTCCTCAGCCACCCATAATCCTCTCCCTGCTCTACTGTCACTTCCAGATGTTGCTCCAGAGGCATTTACAGCCATTACAGCTGCTCAGTGTTGGGTAACAGCCTCCCTGGAGGCGCAAAACCTTTAGATGAGGCACATATGCATTAATGTAACCATTAAAGATTTAACTTAGTCAGCTCCTAAATAGGAATGCTACAGCTGTGTGGCTGCAGTGGGAGAAGGCCACCACTGAATCCCACATAATTATGCAAGCTCCATTTACAAAGCAAAGGAGTCTCATGTGTGTTGTTCGTACTCATGGACAACCAAGCAGAGTCAGTCAAGATGGTTTCTTACTGAGATAATTAGAAAGCCCAAAGCATATGGCTGGCTTAAATAATGTAATGCGTGTTTCTTTTGGGTATCGTAAACCCAGTCAACCACACATCAATTTCAATATTGTTTGAAGGATGTGGAGGCTGCAGAGCTACAACAGCTTCTCAACAACTTTGGTTCTTGAAACAAGAATTTACTTTAAAACCTGAGCTGAGCTGAGACAAATTATCTTCACGTTTTTGTCCTCTTGTAATCTCTCGTGCAAACAAATTATATCTCACTGCAATGGATTTTACCTAAAAGCTTCTCCTGCTATCCATTCCTCATGCATAGTTAACATTTTTAATGGCTTGCCTCAGGATATTCTTTACTGAAATGCTGCAACAGACGAATTAAACTGTCGACATTTCCCTAAAATATGTGTAACATTTTCAATATAAGATTGGATTGTGCGTCCTTAAGGGCTTGCAGCCCTCTAGGTCCTCTCACACTAGGTAATATTTTTTGATAATATTGGCGTATTATTGATGTTTTGGCCCTGAGGAGGCCATTTTTGATGTCTCAAAGGATGCACGTAATCCTGTTATCCTGCAATTTGCAGCCAAAATATAAATGCAATTCCATCCTTTTTCCCATAAAGGATATAAAATCTACAAATACAATTTCTCCTTCAGGGTGATGCTGTTTTTATTATTCCTTTTTAGCAGCACTTTTCCTGAATATCAAAACAAACCAATTCAATTCTATCTTTGATACATTATCCTGAAAAATGTGTGTAGGTCCACAGAGATGTAATGTAAGCAAATTATTCTAATTGTCCTTGAATATATTTAACACATTTTTCTAAATATTAGCTGGCTGACATTAAATCAATGAAGGTGACACTGTATGTAAATGAACTATTACCCGCTTGAAGCAAGAAAGTGGCTGAAGACACAACACTGCAGAGCAGCAGCAGCAGCATCTTTGTAATTGAAGGTTGCTTTTCTTTTATTTTTAGAGTTCATCAAATTCATACACAACAATAACATACTGCTGTCTTTGAACATGCCTTAGAAGAGCTCACTGCCTGTGTCAGAATAATGCTACAAAGTGAGGTTAATAAAGACTAAAGGCTTCTTTGTGTGAAATCTCTTGGCAACAAAACACTAGAATTGATTCAAATAGTGTCCGCGGATTCACCAGAGTTTCTCCTGATGTGGGCAACAGCAGACAACAATGTACTGGAGATTAATTATAAAAAATAAACCTTACACACCCCCCATTAAATATTTATATACTTAAATGCAGTTGCAAAATCGTGACCATCATGAATTCAGATCACATTATGCGATACTAAAAACTTCCAAGGACCTTTGTGCATAAGAATTATCTTAGTTATAGAAAATCTGAACTATCAGTGAAATATTATTCTTTCCTTATCAACAGCTTTGTTTTTCTGTTTTCATGCAGAACGGTAATCCACAGAACCCCTACTGCAACGGCATTGAGGGGGTGATGGAGGCCTATTACCAGAGTCTCAAATCTGTGCGTCTCTACGGACCCACCCACTTCTCCCCCGTTATTAACCATGTGGCCAGGTAGGTCCACTATTATCAGAGCCGGAGATGTGGAACATGTAGGCAGACACACACACAACTGTCTTCGACTGCAGTGCCACCACAAGATTTACAGTTCTGCAGGAGATACTCCTCCTAAGAGCAAGAGGGTGTGGGGAAATTCCAGCTGTGTGTGTGTGTGTGTGTGTGTGTGTGTGTGTGTGTGTGTGTGTGTGTGTGTGTGTGTGTGGACTGCAGTACATTAATCTGTGAGACAAAGGGAGGAAACTTATGTGCTAATATCTCTAAATGTCATCTAACAGGAATCAACATTTACTTATGGAAGATGACCAGTCTGTGTGATGTTCTGATGGATAGAGGTGCGTTAGAAAGCACTAAGGAAATCAAAGAAACAGAAAATCCCCATGCACAGTTGAAGAAACATTGCTGTGAATACCAGTTAATGTCACACCTCCCACCATTCCTCAAATAAAGTCAATGAATCCCTTATGGACACAAGTAAAAAATCTGTACTCTAGTATTCAAAAGAGCTAAACCTGATTAACGTGAGACATATGGGCCCTCAAGTGCAGTTAATTTTTTATTAGAGCAACACATTATAAATGCAAGAAGCTGCTCTCCCACTGATTAAATATTTAAAACAAATAATATACACTTCCAGTAGCTACTTCCAGAAACTGTCAGCAGCACTTACCCAATTTACATGGGTAACCACTGATAAAAGTTTAGGAGCTGTTCTGTAGTGCAGCGTTTTCTGACTTCCTCTATTGCCAGACCTTGTCTCATGATCCTAAAGACCGACTGTAACAAGCACTTTTCCCACCTTTCATCATCGGCTTTCAAATCCCATCTCTCCCTGCTAGTGCCGTCCGCCCACTCAGCCTGAGAATAGCTGCATTGTACAACGCTCACTAATGTCTGTGGAGCATCTGACTAAAACCCAGGAAGACATTGCTAAAAGATAAAAAGTGACACCAAGTCACGTCAGGTTTCTAATTGTCTGACTGTCTGTGCAAGTGACATTGTCCTGCGACATCACTTCAAACATTTGACCCTGGTTTATTTAACATAAAACTGCTCTGAGTTTAAAGCTAAAAAAAGAAATCCAAGGTGTCTTTTTAAAGCACAAAATATACTACTACCAATAATACATTTTTTCCTCCTTCCTCGTGTAATACCTGCACACTGTATCAAGATATCCTCCATGAGATTTATTGTGCTTTTGTATGCTCTGTATGATATTAAATTGTTTGTGTTTCCATGGTAATGATCTCTCTTGTAAGCAGCATAATGTATCTCTGGTAAAATAAAGGTTTAAAAAACATCTTTTAATAGATATTGGGTGAGAGTAGACAGTTTTGAAATACATCTTCAATGAAAACAACACTGTGATTTAAGACAGTGAAATGCTGTCACATCACTATTTACTTTGTGCTTTAAATACCAAAGATCTTTCAGAATAATTTGCACAGCCAAGAACTAGAAAAATGCTAATTTTACATTTACATTTTACATAACGTACGTTATTTTGGACAAGGAATGACGCACACACTGTAACTGGACCATTTGTCTTCAGTAAAATAAGAATTGTATTGATCTCTGGGGGGAAATAGCCTAACATGTGATATTATGTAATAGGGAAATTGCTGAAGCGATGAATGGGATTTGAGACAGAGGTACATTAAAGCCCACCACTTCAGGGAGTTAATGTCGTACTTCCATAAAGTTGGTGGACTTCAGTGAGACAGATGGGGGAAGGGTCAAAACTGTTGCAGCAGATATTTCGAGAGATTCATTTTCTAACCAGGGCTAACTGTTCAAAACATGAAAAGTCTCACAAAGTTCTCGCTATGACAGACTGGCCAGTGGAGTCTCCTTATAAACAGTAAGTTTTCAGCTGAACAGAAAAAAAACTAAACGATGTCTTTTAATACTGATAATATGTTAAAATCAAATGTCTGTCTGTGTTGGAGAAGTGCAGGCTTCCCACCTCCGTGTCTGTGTTTTATTTCTGCTCATTTGTCCTCTGACCTCCTGTCTCTTTCTGTGCCAGGTATGCGTCAGCGGTGACAGACGGATCACAGTACTTCATCCTCCTCATCATCTCCGACGGCGTGATCACAGACATGGCGCAGACCAAGGAGTCTATAGTCAATGTACAGTACCATACCACATTATTTATTGTTTGAGCTTTATGTTTAAGAAGGAAGACTTTATGTTGCCGAGGCCTTTTCAAAAACATCTGAACCAGTAAATGTACAGTGGAATTTACAGTATTATGGACAGCAACAGTCCATGGATTATATGCTTGTATTCATTCAGTTAATAGGCTGTAAAACATGCGAGGACCCTGGAGGCCCAGCAATGATTAAGCCTCTAATGGAGATCCTAATAAACTCACAAACAAACTATAATGAAAGAGAGAATATGAAAAGCAGTCCATCTGCTGTCTTTCTCTTTTTTTCTCATCTCCACTAATGAGGAGAGTAAGGGAAGAGAGGGTACGGCCTGGTCGGCCACTCCACCTCCCCATGCGTCCCCCAATCCTGCTATGTTCAGCTCTAATAACTCTGCTTTGTAATTAGAGTGATCAGAGTTCATGTGTGTAAGGATTTTGGGTGAGCTCACATATTTGGAGCCTCAGTCGCCTGCACTCGCTGCTCTGCATCGCCTCACCACCCTCCCCTTCCCTTCCCTCCCCTTCCCTCCCCTTCCCTTCCCTTCCCTTCCTGCGCCTCCATGTGATGTAATGTTATTGTAAAGTAAGATTTGAGAGTAATTATTTACTAGCCCACGGAGGATCCCTGCCCCTCATATTTCCAGGCAGTTTGGGCATCCATCTAAAGTTATGAAACACTGAAAAACCTTCATTCATCATTCATCACTCCAACTGTACTTTGCTGTCCCACTCGGCTAAGATTTAATAAAGAATATTGCAATGCAGGGCAGCAGTTCAGCTGCAGCTTAGGGCAGACGAAGATGTAAATGGGAGTCATTTTTAAACTGTCAAGCTTTGGGAGATTTAGACAAAGTTGTAGATGCATGAAATTAGAACCTCCAGAACGGGCTGGACAAGAGGCTTTATGAGACCGGCTGCAGAGGGCAGATGGAAGTGGACAAGCCCGTCTGTCTTAACAATAGCAGAGAATTTTTCTATTGAGATTGCTCTCTATGGAGTGTTAACTTACAGTTAGTAATTTGCGGTGGTATTTCACTGACAGCCTGCAGCGTTTAAGATAGCAAATTTTGAAAAGAATGAACGTTGCTTCTTCTCCACCTTTGATGCGCCGCTCTGTCTCTTTCCACCCTTTACAGGCCGCATCTCTTCCCATGTCAATTATAATAGTTGGGGTTGGACCAGCAGAATTTGATGGTAAGCAGGGTGAAGAGCATGCGTGTGTGTGTGTGTGTGTGTGTGTGTGTGTGTGTGTGTGTGTGTGTGTGTGTGTTTGCATGCAGTAATCCTTCGCCTTCTTTCTACTTCCTATCTCGCCTCCCAGCCCTGGTTCAGCCCTTCCTTGTGCAGACCTCCTTTTCTTCTGTCCTCCATTCTCCCTCCCCTTAATTTTTCTTCCCCATCTCCTCTGCATCCGAGGTTAAGTGGATTTCTTTTCTTTTCTTTTTTTTTAAATGGACGAGGGCCACAATCCCCACCTCTCTACTGTGTCGTTAACGCTCATGTTTACCGTTCACAGAACAGTCCTCCGTAAAAACAAGCTCACTCGTGATGAGCAATTTGCCCGCAAAGTCAACAGGATTAAACAATTATCACGGCTGTGAAGTCAGTGTGCATGGTTGCATGATGTCCCTATGGTGCACATCACTGGCTCTGCTCACATATTCTAGCATGTTTCCCCTGTTTTCCCCTGTGTGCAACTCAGAGCCCGATGGCTTCACATTCAGAGACACAGATTCTGTGTACTCCTGCCGCGTTTGGCATTGTCAACACTCCAAGGCAATGTAACCCAGTGGCATGCTAATGGCTGCAGCAGATTAAAACGCGCAAACCGCGTGTCGTGTTTGCTCGCCGTAGTTTTGACATAGCAGTCCGAGTCTCCTGACGGGCCGTGACTGATGTGCTTCCCTCCTCAGAAATGATCGAGCTGGACGGAGACGAGGAGAGGATCTCATCCCAAGGACGATACGCAGAGAGGGACATTGTTCAGGTACAGAATATTCCCAAAGACACGGCTGAGTGGCTGTGAGGCTTTTCACTCAGCAGAATGTCTCAGGAGAAATGTAGGATTTATGATTAATGGGAAAAGGTCATGGTGCTTGACCCTCTGCTGTGCTCTTGTTCTCACTCTGCCATTTTTCTGTCTCCTTCCTGCTGCATCGCCTCTCTGAGCTATATCCACCTTTTTCTGTCCTTTTCATTCTGTTCTTTTCTTTCTCTTTTTCTGACCTGATATTTTAATTATAAACTAAATATTTTATTTTTAACTTTATCTTCTTCTCTATTCCTCTTTTCTCTCCTTGTTTCCTCTTCTCTGTTTCCTTTCCTTTCCTTGTTTCCTCTCCTCTCCTTGTTTCCTCTCTTCTGCTTCTCTACTCCTGTTTTCCTCTCCATGTTTCCTCTCCTCTCCTCTGCTCTTCTCACCTTGTTTCCTCTTCTCCTTTCCTCTCCTTTTTTCCTCCTTTCTTGTTTCCTCTCTTCCTCTCTTCCACTCTACTCCTCTCCTTGTTTCCTTTTCTTACCTTGTCTTTTTGTTTTCTCTCACCTCTTCTCCTCTTGTTTTCTTACTTCTCCTTGTTTCATCCATTCTTCTATCCGTTTCCTCTTTTCTCATTGTTTCCTCTTCTCACCTTTCCTTGTTTCATCTCCTTTCCCCCTTGTTTCCGCTCCTCTTCTTCTTTCCTCTCCTCTTCTTGTTTCCTCTCGTCTGCTCTCCTCCTAACCTTGTTTCCTTTCCTCTCCTCAGTTTGTTCCTTTCAGAGACTACATCGACCGACGAGGAAACCACATCCTCAGCATGGCTCGTCTGGCTAAAGAAGTGCTTGCTGAAATCCCCGACCAGTTCCTGTCCTACATGAGGACCAGAGGCATCAAACCCGGGCCCCTGCCACCTCCTTACACCCCCTGCCCACCACCAGCCATCCACCCCCTTCTCGCCAGACGGGTAAGCCGAATTTAAAGGCAGAGCCCTGTCTCCAACGCCGGCCAGCCAACCCTACTGGCCTTTACTCTCTTCTTCTCTGCCTCTTCTTCTTCCTGCTCTTCACTGGAGGCTTTGAGCTCATGGCAAACCTCGCCTGCTCTCTCATGTTGCACTTTCGGGAACGTTTGGCCATGATCGGTGACGCGGATAAGCCCGAGTGGGAAGCTTCCGCTTTTTAGAAGAAGGGACTTTTCCCTTACTGGACAAAGGTGGGGCTTTTGATGGGTTGTGATGGGGGGTCTGAGATCACCTAACTGCACCAGAAAGAGTGAACAGGACAGAAACTGACCAGTCGCAGCTGAAAGGGTTCCAAACTGTGGAGGCCCTTTTTCGAAACACTGTTCATGTTTCTGTTTGCGATTTCTATTTCCACTTCCTCTGTCGTTCACAAAATCATGTCTTTCTCTGATATATACATGTTTACAAACTTGAGGACTGGAGTGGAGAATTTTTTTCAGGAGGGAATTTATACCGACTAATGTGAAAACCTTTCAGATTCCTATTTTTCAGCTGCAGAAACTGGAGGTTGTGGATTTGTACAAAAACATTTAGGCCTTGGTGCCACATTCTTCATTACAGAGTGTGTTTTTTTTAAATAAATGGAGCATGTGCTAGTTTAAGAGAAGCATGCACTGTTGTCCTGCACTCAGGGCTTTGTCCCTCCTACACAAACCCCCCCACCCACCACTTCACCGCCGCCACCACTGCCATGTTTCATTAAGAACAAGCCCATCATCCGCCTGAAATCTTCCCACGCTCCTACCTTCTGCTCCGTCCACCTGCCTTGACTCAAAAGGAAGCTGTGCTTCCTGGGAGTCTGGTTAAATCAAATGCAGCAGGGACTTGAACCAGCCTTACTCTTTTGTCAGATAACATTAACAGGTACAGTGTCGTCCATGGGTTCTGGAAATGTGGATCTCCAAGCCCAGGTGTCAAAAACACACGTCTCACTACCGAACCTGACTGTGTGTTACATTTTAAAGTCTCTTTTCATGGAATAACATTGTGCTTTAGAAGCATTTTTCTTTTGTTTTACGTCTCTCTACCTCTCACTTTGTTTAGTATTGCCAAAAAAAGAAAATGTTGATTAAATAACAAAGTGTTGGTGTGTCAGTGATTTTTGATAAGTCTGTGGAGTTCACATTTTTACCTTTCTCACTAAAGTTACACTAAATATTTGCCAAACTGTGGGCTGAGAATTACAGCACTTTGGTTGCTATCAGATCAGGGGACTCACACCTTCGTGGTGGCAACACACTGTTAATAAATGCACAGAAATCAATTCACCAACACGCCAAGATGGACACATGCTTTTCTTTTAACAGCCACCCATATGGATCAAATTAATGACTGTGAGGACAGGTTTTAGTTCCATGTTGTCAAACATTGTAACTAAAAGTTGATGCCTGTAAAAATCTGAAAGGTTTAGTAGCATGTAGCTTATCATCTCCTTAAGGGAAAACTCTACAGAAAACCTGTGTTGTCAGTATCAAACACACAGCACCTGAGGGTTTGGAAGGTGGCTCTGAATTCTTTGTAGTTCAGTAGCTTAGAACGAGGATGGCGGCAGCTGTTCTTCATTCACAACAGTTACAATAGACTCCAGTGGAAATCTCCCTGTTTCCACATTGGCTCTTTTTGTTGCAATTCAATTCAAATTCTCTAAGTGTTGTGCTCATTGACAGCTCAACAGAGTTTTGTAAGTGGGTGATGAAGCAGTTATCAATCATGTAATATTAAAATGGACAAATATCCTTGTATCCTCATTTATGAACAAGGTTTATTAAAACAAGTGCTTGGAGACAGAGCATGAGGCTCTGCGTCTCAGCTGTTTCTGCTGAGTTAAAGTGCCAAAACATCAGCAAGATCACTGAAGTAGCAAAAGACAGAACGCTTGCGAGCAAGAATTGAAACTTTGTCTCATAGTGGGATTAAAAACAGGGACGTCCCAAAGAAATCATAAAATGGAACACGTGCATGTTTTATTCAACACAGCTGGTTGTTGTTAATTTGGCTTGAGGCATGAGAAAATTTAATGGCACTGAAAACCAATATTCGCGAACAACTTGTCACTACAATGAGGTCCTACGTGAACACAAAGCTTCTCCATAACAAAACTTATTAGATTTGAATTAAAGTTGTTGTAACTGTTCTTGATCCAAGCTGACCACAGCTGCTGCCCTCTGCAGAGGAGCAAGCTACACAGTTTTCAGAGCTTTTCTTCTGAGGGTTCGATCACTAAAGCCTCAGTTTTCAGTTTTCAGTGGAGTTTTCCTTTAAAAATGGGGAAACACCCAAATCCAAAACAGGTAACTGCACTGTCACTTTTAGCCGCGTTACAGGGTGAAACTCAAATGCAACCCTGCAGTTTTGCCCAGCAATGTGTACATGAAAAGTTTAATGTGACTTAAAGCAAAGCACAATTCATTTCCTATCAGGCTACAGCCATTACCACTACCCCATTTCAACTCATGTCAGTGTGTGAAGAACAGTGTTTGTACATTTTACTCTGTATCTGTGTAATACAAACCGTAGCGCTCATCAGAACTTTTTTCGGGCCCTATTCAGTCAAGGAATCAATGTTAAAGACAGTTTACAACATTTTTCTAAACGCACGCCTCAGAATTATCAGATACTTGCTTAATTCAAATGTCTACTTAAAAACTGCTTGTGAAACATTTTCTTAGATATTTATATGCTGTACAAAATTTTGCCTTTTTTGAGTAATGGTCAGTATACTGTATGTGTAATGCTGCTTCTTTACTGCTGATGTTAGTATTACATTTTATACTGAGGCCTGTAATCATATTTAAATCATGACTAACAGGCCTTATTCATGTTTATACATAAGTTATTCATATTTAAATCATGAACGACAGGCCTGTATTTTTTTATGAGTGAATGGTCAGATAACAATGTATGTTTCATGTGTGCAAGATGTTTAAAGGTAGACCTGGTGATCAAGTAGACTCAGTAGCAACATTTGTCTGCCAAATTCGACATATTGTTAAGTGTAGCATGTCTTTGTTGGCTGAGACTCATCCCAGAAAAGCTGGTTATTCAATTTGACTGAATAGGGTCCCTCAACGTGGGTCTGATAGATTTTGTACTCTTCTGTATTGTTGTGTCATGGCGGGGACCCCGTAAGGCAGCGGGGATGACGAATTGCACAATGTAGCACTGGTCTCAAGTCTGGTGTCAGACTGGAGCAACACCAGACTGAACCAAATCAGACCAGATCAGGCAGGAACAGTCTTTTTATATGTCTGTGTAAATATATATTCTGTATAAACTGTAATCTGTTGTTTGGAGAGCTGACTTGCAGCAAACTGCCAGGACTCTGTGACTCTCCTCCTGAAACACAAGGCAGGGCCTTTCATTTATTTATCACAACAAGATGTCAACTTCATCTCACACCCACACTCTCGTATATACTGTACATCCAGTACATGTATTTGTATATGAAACATGCATGACACTTACATAACAAGGTGAGGGTTGAGTGAAGATTAAGGGTTTTCTTGCTTGTTTTCCCAGAGAAACAGTGGTTTCAGAGATCAAGTGATTTGGTATTTATATTCACATCAGTAAAATCAGGGTTTCTCAACGTTTTGTGTCCTGTGACCACATTTTATGTCCCAGATATCAAGCTGTTTGGATGCACTTGAAACTTGGATTACATACATGTAGGGACAAGCAAAGAACCCTCTGCCAAGGTGTCTAAATTTGTAATTTGTTTGATCATAGAGAATCTTTTGAAAATTTTTATTGGCAATTGGATCTAGATGTTCATCAAAATACACATAGTGATAGACAATCATAATATACCTGAGCCAGATTACAGACATGGTCTGTTTTCTTTTTTTTTTTCTTGTAACCCCATAAACTATTGTTTGTTAATAATGTACTCCTTCGTCATGGAAGTTATGAAGGAGCTATTTGTAAGTTTTGCTATCCTTACATAGCTAACATTAGCATTAGCAGTTGTTTACTTACCAGTCCAGAAGAAACATTGTGAGTCCAGCATCAAACTTCATCCATTCACTCACCAACAGCTGTCAGCAGAGGTGGAAAGCAACGCCAGAGTTAACTCTTGTCTCTATCACGTCTTGCCTTCTACTGAAGTTAGCATGCTAACCAGCTAGCGCCGGCCCGTCTCCTCACTTTCGATAGCGACTCACTGTAGCCTCCAACCCTCCCTGAAGACATAGCGCTGCTCAGATGGTTTATTATAACCTCTTGTCTTGTAAACGCATCAATGGCTGAACCGCTTGTCATCACCACCACCTGCGCCCAGCAAGAAACCTCATGTGGCAGCAGAGAAACCTTACAAATAGCCTCACAACTGTAAGTTGTAAACTAGTTAGTTGGACTTGCTAATGATCGCAGCGCCGATAAACCCACCATTTACAACTTTTCTACACTTTTGCTTATATTCTTTGCTATCGAAAGGCAGGAAAAAAAGACACCACCGTCCAAAATCTTTAAATGCCCAGTATCGCCGTTACAATAGCCACAGGCTCACAGCTTCAACATGTGATGACAGATGCTATTTTAAATTATTTTAAACAGTTACAAATATTTCAGCCAACAACCCTGTCTTAATATCAAGAAACACTATGAGGGGTTGAGAAAGTCTTTCCAGATGACTGCAAAGCTACATCTTACTACATGACTACCATATTACACTGTGAAGTACACAGTAGGTCTGAAAGCATCTCGTCTTTGGCGTGCATGGAATCGCCCTCAGGAAGAAGAAGCTGTTTGTATAGAAACCCAGTGGAGGTGGAAGGATTCACATATACCATTGGGTTTGTCACATGTGGCTGTGATGTGTGAAATCACTGTTCCTCTGAGGCTGAGTCAGTGTAGGAGTAACAATCATAAGCATTTATTGTATAGGACACTACAAGGGGAAAAGAAAAAACAAAAAAAAAAAACCCTGCGCTACTGGTGGACAAACAAGCTTTAATGAC